CAATGGATAGGCCTGAGTTTGGGGGAAAGGGTTGTCCTTCCTCTTCTCCACCCCACAAAAAAAGGAAAAAAGGGTTATAGAGTTCTTCATTTCAGAGTGGTAGAGAGCAGGGAAGGCATTGGGACAGCAGGTTCAGATATTAGTGTAAAGCCCTGCTAGAGAGAACCTCTGAGCACCAACCCGAGAAGGAACACTGAGCACACAAAGAAGCAATGATGAATTTCAGCACACTTGGATGCTTCATTCATATCTGCTATAGCTTCTTTCTCCCTGTCACAAACACTCTCTCTTCAGATCACAATTTCTTATTTTTCTTCAGTTTTCCTTCACTGCATAAAGAAAGGGTACATGGTATTTCATGTAGCCATGAAGGGCTTACACCCTGCCTACAAAAATAAAATAGGATTTGACTTCTCTGCTATTCGTTAGTACACAGTGAGATGAGAACAGTGCTCCTTGTGACAGATCCCTCAAAAAGTGCTATGTTAAGATTCTCCTGGTGATGATTCTTCTTTAGAAAAGGGATTAACTAAGAAGTCTAAAACACACCATGATCAAAAACTAATTCTGTTTGATGAGAAGCAAACTCGTTGCACCAGATGGCTGTCTGGTCTTGACTTCTATCACAGTGCAGTAATAAGCACTGCAGGCACCTCACGCAAAAAAAAAAAAAAAAAAAAAAAAAAAAAAAAGAAAAGAAAAAGAAAAATAGGGCATTTTATTAGAGAGAGGGAAACTCAACACACGGTTTAGAATTGGACTGATTGGGACATTGATCTGTTTGATGTAGCTGTATCTGTTTGCCCACATGCGACAACTTTTCTTCCAGCTGCAGCTTAGGATGTGCCCCTTGCATGATCAGACTGAGACTATAAATCTGCTTCAGAGTCCCTCCAGGTGTGTTAATGTTGGGGAAAAGAAAAATGCTCCAAGTGAAGCAGTTGCTTACAGTCTCTCCAGGGGCTCCAGCTTCTCCTCGGGCTCCTTTCTGCCCCTTTGAACCCTGCACAAAAAATTAAAATAAAATATTTCAGTTGATTAGAAATTGGTTGGAACTGCCTGCCAGACAAAAAGACTCTCAGCCTTTGTGACACATGAGCACGCACTAGGCAACGATCTTAGCGAATCAATTCACAGAGGATTTTTAATGGCCGAGGAAATGGCTCCCAGTTCTCTATGCAGCAAGAAAATGATACAAAAATAAAGCTCTGAGACATAAGAAGAATTACTAATGACTGATCAGTTCAAAGGCTGTTTCTCAACATTTAATGCTGAAACTTTTATATATTCATCTGGGTGAAACTCTTTCCCCTCCTCAAGCCTACCAGACACTTAAATTCCAACTGAATTCTGATAGTCTCCCTGCGCAGAGCAAGTTTTGCCTGTGGTTCGCAGATGTGAGTAACAATCATTTAAAAAGTGTCAAAATACACGCCACGGCAGAGGGCTTGCTTCAGGCTCGTGTGTGTATGTGTGAGCTAAAAATACTCAGAAGACATTTCAAACTATAAATCTGATGCAAGCCATGCTGAACTCAGGGCCAAATGGACCGGGTTTGAATCTGAACACAATGAAACATTATGCTGAAGTACAGTAGCTTCTTATCTGGAAGACCTGTGAATCAGTGGCATCAACATCAGATGCTCTCCCTGAGAGAGCCTAAAGTTGCAAGTCTCTTGGTCCACACAGATCAAGCTACATCCACACAGATCAAGCTACATGGGTGTTGAATTTTTACTGTGATTCTCCTCATGTTGTCCTGATGTCTGGCAAGAGTAAAAGCTCTTGAGCTTACAATAGCAGTGGAGAAATGGGCTCTTAGTGTTTAGAGGAAGAATTATTTGCAGTGACCTACATATCGAAGATACCCTTCCCCATTCACACCACAGATTTTGTTCAAGGCTGGTTCTTACCTCAAGTCCTGCAAGTCCTGGGACTCCCTGTTCACCTGGGACCCCAGGTAATCCCTGCAAAAAAAAAAAAAAAAAAAACACGTGTAGGAAGTGAAGGAGCTGAAGGAGATATTTCTCCCAACACTTAGGAAAGAAAGAGCCATTTTATTGTGACTATGGCTACACAGGGCTCTTTCTCTCTTCAGGGCTGCCTCTAAAACAAGAGCAAAACAGAAAATAAATGGAATAGCCAAATCCACAATTTAGCTAGGCCTTATGACTTAAACAGCCCTCAGTAATACCTATACAAAATTGCTACCAGCCAAGCTCTGCCTAGAGAACCCCACAATCCTCTTTGCAGCCATTAAGTCCCCAAGCTATAAATCATAAGCCTAATTTCTGGTAGCTATCTAGCTTCCTATAAAACTTACAGAAAGCTAGATGCCCTTACATTGTTGTTGTGAAAGAAGCATCCTGACTATACCAGGAGTCTGTCCCACCTTTTCCTTCCCAAAAAAAAAAAAAAAAAAAAAAAAAAAAAAAAAAAAAAAAGGCATTCATGTCTTCTATTTGCTAAAATTCAAAACCAAAACTGAAGAAAAATTTTGCTGTGCTTACAGGCTCTCCGCTCATTCCTCGATCTCCTTTCTCCCCTTTTGGTCCAGGTTCACCCTGTTGTAAAATAAGAAGATGAAGAAAGGTAATAAATATATTTCCTGAACTAGAAGTCTTGCCAGCCCTGTTCTGCAAGAGAACTCTTTTGCTAAGGATAGATTTTGAGATAGAGGAGCTAATATTTGAATCTTTCCTGCTGTATTACACAAAAATGTGGTATTCTTCAGTCAGAAGGACAATAAAAAAGAGTCGGATCATCTTGTCAGGGAACAATAACCCATATGGCTACCGTTTAAAAGATTCTGATGTAGAGAACTTTGAAGTCCAAGAATGACTCTAAGATTTGGATTAGGCTGGAAGCAAACATTCTCAGCTAAATGACTGTGGCCCATGCTTGATGTCTGGGCCCTGGAGAGTTAAAATAGAAACTGATGTTCTTCATAGTTACTCTTTTTGTCTAGATTTCTGGGACTGCCATGATACTAGTGTAAAAAATCCTTCTAACACCACTTCAGATAACTTTTAATTTAAAAAGTTAGTACTTTTCCTTCGCAGAGAATAGTTGTTACGGAATCTATTATCCTCACATTCAATTAATTCAGAGAGGCAGCATTCAAATATTACAGTATTATCATGATAGATGATCTAAAATGAAATGCCAGCAACAAGAAGAGCATAGCCTCTAAACTCTGTTGTCTCTGTTGTGTTGGGACCACTGGTCTAATGTCCTAGAACAGAGTAAAGTATCCCATATAATGACAGGGTAAAAGAAAGGTGTTCAGAGCCTGATCTTGGGCATTTTCCAAAATGTGGAACAAATAGCCTTTTCCAATATCTAGTTTTGTTAAAACCTTCACATATTCAAGTAACTTTCCTTCCCTCTGCAGTATCAGTATGTTTCATGCATTACCATCACTGACCAAAGGAATCAATTTATCCCTGTTCTTCCTCTTTACAGCAAATTGTTCTCTGTAAAGAAGTTCATCAGCTTTATTCTGACTTGTTTAATGATAATCAATAAGCCCATATTTCTGATTTTTCTAAATGGAAAGAGAACACACAAAATCATGGAACTATCTGGAAAACGCCAAGCACTGCATGAATACTCACTTTTTTCTTTTTTTTTTTTCTTTTTTTTTTTTTTTTTAAATCAACGTATGTATTCAGCATTGGAAATCAATACTTATTCATTATTTATCACACAAGGTGTCTCAATTATGCAATCAAGAAATAGTAAGAACATCACTGACAAGCTACAGGAGAAATAGGAACAAATCACTTTGAATTTTATTCACATCAGCTGCTTGCCAGATTATTTCTATAACACCTGGGAAATCAAAGTCCATTTGCAAATGATTTCTTAACAAACTAAATAAATGTAACTGCATGCATATTATTTGTGTGCATATGCATTATCTGATATGAATAAAAATTATAATTTATATGATAAATAATAGTAGGAATTTTATAAAGTAATGCCCAGTTAGACTAGCTTTAATTGGGTAGTTCTTGATGCCATCTAGTGGCCTTCGGAAATATGACGGCATGTAAAGTGCTTCAATAAAGTGATCCTACTCTACAAGATAGATAGCTGTGCTTAGAATTTGTTTTTTGTAGTAATGTTTAAAGCTCTGAAATCCTTTCAAGTGCCAAAACAAAGACCAGGCACATGGTAATACATCTGTAGATAGCAACAGTATTAATAAGCAGAAATGAATGTTGTGATGGAAAACATGAATGGAAAGGGAAGAAGTAACTCCACAGGTAAAGATGGGAGCCCCAATATTCTCCTGCCTTCTGTTTTTAGTTTGTTATTTCAGTTGCATGTTATTGCTGAATTAGGAAAATGCTTGCACATTCATAAAAGTGGTCTAAGCATTTTTTAATACGCACTGCCAATACGTAAGTCTGCCTACACTCTTAATTTAAAAGGCTGAGACAGCCTTTTAAACACACAGCTGTGTCCCAGTTAAAGTTGGTTTGGATGCTGCTATTACCAGGACACCCATTTGCTTCTCATCCTTATTAGTTACAACAGTGAAGTTGCACAGAATTAGAGTCAAGCTGAGCTTCCTACTGAAATCACTGAAACTACACAAAAGAAAACAAGGTGCTCTTTATGTACCAAATACAAAAGGCAAAAATATGATGTTCTTTAGAGTTGCTACTTACAGGAATTCTGGGGTGTGGGGTAAAGAAGGCTGTCTGAAAAGAAATCAGAGCGTTAGAAGCAGCACCTTGACACAATCATTGTGTATTTTCCTTGAAATGTAACAACATATGTTAATTGTCATTATATACCCCATATTGTCCATCTGTAGGTTTATAAATGAGCATCTCAAGAAAATATTAGGCTACTTAGGAAAAACAAAGAGAAACAAAAAAAGAAGCAGAAATATCAGACATTTACTAGAGGATTTGAAATATAAACTCAAAGAAGTCCTGTGTGTCCAACCTCTATGAAATGCCAAACTATACTTCACTTTGGGCTACTGGGACTCTCCAGCTCACTTTTTCACTTGGAGCCATCTTTAACATCATCAAATTTCCTGTTGTGTACCAAATTCGGCATAGAGAACAAAGGTACAGCTTCAAACTGTGATTTGCTGACTCTGAGGCCAAGTTTGGCACGTTGTCTTTTTGCTTCATATCACTAACAAGATGTATACATCTCCATGTGGCTGTTTATCTTAGGGATTATATAGTCGCCCTCAAGGGCTAACCACAAGAGGATCAAGTTTTGTCAACAGAAGCAGTATTTCTGATTAGGAACTGATAAAACAGAATAATTGGACAAGGTTAAATCTCTGATAAAATGACAGTAAGCTGCAAATGTCATCTATTTTTTCCATCTCAAATAGAAATTATCCCTCCATACAAACACAGAAGCCTTAGCAGTCAGGCATATCTTCGTATTGAGCTACATGGTGCGGTTTTTGAGAGTCACCTTCTCCGTGTAGAGCAGGACAGATCCATCCTTGGTGTGTGCTGGATTATTCTTGTGTGACAGACAGAGACTCTTCACTGGCAGAAAGCATCCTTTGGCACAGATTGAAGAGCCATTTGATGTCAGGAAGCAAATTGTAATAGCTCCTGCACTACTGCATGAAGACCTGTAGGTTTTGATTTTAGCCTGAAGATGTTTCTTAATTCAAACTTGCTCCATTATCTGCTGATGTGGCAGCTGTAACCAGCTGCTCCAGATAAAGCTGAAATGTGGATTTCTGTCATTTTCCAGAGGGTCTGTGACTGTGGGATCAGTCTTCCTGTTGTAATGAGAGACCTGTTGCTTGTGCTTAGTGCAAGCCAATTGTACAGTTTGTGCTGGAGGGAACTGTGAGGTTTATGTATTTACATTCAGTGTATGCTGGTTTAATGGCCTGGAGTTAACTTTATTGTAATTACATTCACTCTTTCCCAAAGGCAATTGTGCAGACTCACTTTAAAAAACAATAAAGAAATGTTTTCTTGCTCCTTTTTTATTAGCAGAAATTATTAGAGTGCAACCAGGTATGACTGGGTTAGTTGTAAGTGGAATTCAGCGCTGAATCAAAATGTCCAAGAACAGATCCCAGCACTAAAGAGTCTCTCTGAGCCAACCGCATAACATGGCACGGCATGAGTTGGAAACTCAGCAAGACTAGAGAACTGCTGAAGCTGAATCCTCCCACATGCACCAAAATAAATTCATGTTAGCGAGAACTGGAAACCTCTACTTTTTCTTGGAACAGGTAGATTGCTTCCCACAAAAACAAGATATTGTTCACTGGAATCTCTCCTCCATTAACCTGTTTCAATGTGATCCCAGCTGAGAAAATCTAGTTCATTTTGGAAACTCTGAGGAATCTGTGAGGAAGAAGTATGATGCTTACATTATTATGTTATAAACCACAATCTTACTTACTGTTCCAGGTAAGCCTGGTGGTCCAGGGGAACCCATGTCACCCTAAGAAGAGAAGGAGGACAGTACAAACCGAGGACATAAAAAGCAACATTGAACAACCTGCAAGTCCAGTGACATAAAAATTCCCCAAAATACCTCTTCTGATGGATGGATAGACTTTTTACCCACTCTTCTGGGCAGAATTTCTGCTGTCATTTTGTTTCACATACAATGCTTACTTAGCTGTCTTTTTCACTTCACAGGTCTGTTAAATTCTAGTGTTAACCATCTGCTGTGTGGCATAGAGCTTAATTTGCACTTTAAGTTAAAGTGATCAAAAGTTTGATTGAAAAGTATATTCTACTAAAACTTTTGTGTATGGATAAAAAAACACCTTTTCATCAAAAGTATGCTTTTCTCAATCCAGTTCCCCAATTATTGAGTCAAAAATTGGTCTGTTGCTGGAGTATGGCCTGGAAGTCTGTGTGTCTTAGTCGGAGTGCCTTAGCTGCCAATGACCTTCCTATGGGTTGTGCTCCATAGACAATTTAATTCCCTGTGACACATCAAAGATAAGAACTGCTAACAACCTTCCAGAGATGGGAATTCCTCACTGAAAACATCATTTGACCACTCATGAAAGAGGTACCATCTCCACAGATGGTGAAAGCTACTCGTAAACCTAAGACAAATCTGTTATAGGAATAACAGCACAGGAAAGTGTTTCCCAGGATGGAATAAAAAGGCAAAAAGAAGTTAGAAAGTCTTAAGCTGACAAGCAAAATCAAACTAAAGACATAGCAAACAGGCTAGAGCTAGAAGGCAGGAGATAGAACTGACTTGTCCAAAGCCCAATGGAAATTTATGATCAGTTATAGTCCCCTTTATCACCAGCTTTACTTGACCAAGAGGATGTACTCATTCCTTGCTTGTGGAATCCAAGTCATACAGTTAGCTAGGTTTCATCCATGCAAAGTCAGTCCTCTAGTACCCCAACCTGCCTGATGAGCAGGCCATAATCTTGGTCTTGGTCCCCAAAATCAGACTCCCACAGAAATACAAGCTAGAAAAAGGCTCTGATACCGATAGCAGATAAAGCCATCTACCCACTTTCTAAAGGCTAAGATTGCAGCATTGCTGCTATATGCAAGGCAAAATTTTCGCTATACAGACATAAGAATCTGCACGGTTAGTGCCTTAATTTCACCTTCACAGGAATTGGGTGGAATTTTTGGTGTCTATTTCTCTTATTTTCCACCAAAATTAATGGTTCTGTGATGGCAGATACTCAGCCCATTCCTTAAATCATTGTGCTGTCACAGCAGAGTGAGGCATAGAAATGTTTCTGAGAATTCTAGACGCATTTCTATTAGCCAGTTCTAAAACAAATAAGTATTTGTACAGACACTGCCCTTAGATTTCATTAAAATTACTCCTTGCATTACTGAATAAATGATTTTTTCTATTTCACAGATGGCTTCTTTTGCTGTTTCTTTGTAAGGCTCAGCTAACCCTTCTAATTATTTTTAATCCTCCTCAGAAATTCTCTTCTATCAATTACTGCTGCTATCCCACATCCCATTGTTGTATCTTTTCCTTTCTTGTCTAAGAAGTGACATTTTTATTTCATGACTCACCTTTTCTCCTCGTTCACCTTTAAATCCAGGGAGGCCATCTTTTCCTTTTTCTCCCTAGAAGCAGTAAAATAAATCAGAAATATTTACACTTTGATTTGATGGAATCAATCCCACTACTGCATTGCTCTTATGACATTAGAAAATTTTACACTTTAAGACCATCTAACCTTGAGATGCAGTGTAAGTAATTAAATAAAAAGGTAGCAGTAGTATTTTCTTCCTTTTGAGAAAAAGAGGTAGCAGAATGTGACTCAAAGCCCAGGGGGGGCATTCATGCTATCTGTTTTGGCTGAAAGGATTTCTGAATCACCTGCTCTCTGGGACCCACTATCTACCTCAACTGTTCAGGAAACCTGTTGCCCTGAATGCATAACATGGATGATATGAATACTCTCCAAAACACACGCACAACATGCATTTATCTCATATTCAGATAGGAACTAGCTGATAAATATAGCTGTGATTTTATAGAGAGAAAAATTATACTATATATTCTATGTTTTTCAATATAAATAACATAGCAATTGGCTTCAATTGACTTTAGATCTTGTTAACACTCAAGCTCAGAGGCAACCAATCTCACTCAGATGACCCAATTTTCCGTCCCTGATCCAACTACTTCCAAGAGCGTAGATGTCTCTTGAGGTCTGGAGCTAGCTAGGGAAAAGCAGTAGACAGCAGGACCTGAGTGGCAGCTAGGCTGTCAAAAAATGATCCAGTAGTCTGTAATCTTTTCCAGGGTTCACTGACAAGGAGATTGGTTGACTTGTGTTGTTTTGGCTGCTGTTGTTCTTAGCATTTTTTTAACGTTCTTAAATCATGTAGGTGCTTCTGTTGCAATTGGGAAAGGTCATTAGGCAGTGTCATGTTAGAAGGAGTAGGAGTTGGTGAGCTTGCAGAATGCCAGACAGCACTGATCACAGCAACCACACCGAGAGACATTATCACCTAGAGATGTTCTAGAGAAGTCCTCCCGCCACCAAACAGGCAAATTAAATCAAACTGTGTCTCAAAGTCACTCACCTGATCTCCCTTCTGTCCTCTCAGTCCAGGTGAACCTTGAGGGCCAGGAAGGCCTGCTTCACCCTGAAAGTGAGATAAAGCAGTGTATGAAATGTAGGGATACGCATCAAGCATGGCTTCTATTAGTAAATGTCTTCACTCTCAAACAAAACAAACAAAAAGGAACAATAATGGACCAAAAATAGAGTTAAGAATAAAAAGAATAAAAAGTTCTTGGCTTATAATGTTTGTAATCATAACAATTTCTGCCTAATATGGTTTGTTCTAATTATAGCAAGTATTCTCAAATTTAGCTCCAGGTTTATACAGTTTGTTATTTAGGAGTGACCAAGGCTTTTTTTTTTTTTTTTAAATGTATTATTCTTTTGCTATGTGTATCTTCAGTGAAATATCACAAAGGATTCCAGTCACTGCAGGATGCAATTTCACTAAGTGTTTCATTAGGAGTTGCACAAATACCAAAATAAGAGATGATGACCTCTGCTTTAAAGGCACTATCTTTGAAGCAGAGGAAAAGACAAAACATTACTATGATTTACACACAATGAGTCTTCAGGAGAAATCAGGTGACCTTCTGTCTAAGGAGTGTGTGGATCTTCAAAGACAGTGATAGCAAATGACGGCAGCAGAGCAATGCTTTATGAGAGTGACAGCAAATGATGGCAGCAGAGCAAAGCTTTATGAGAGCCACTATAGGATCCCAGTTGATAATGAGTTTCCGCAGATCGTAAGGACAAACACATGAATAACTTTAAAGAGGAGAAAAAAAGAAGGGTTTAGAGGATAAAAGAAAATGGGTGGCCTAATTTTGATCTCTGGAAAGAGAAACTAAGTTTTAATCAGTTAGCAAGTGCTCAAGGATAGGAAGGTGATTAGAATCAGACAGTGTGGATTTGTCAAGAGCTAATCATGTCAAACTCATCTTACTTCCTCCTTTGACAGGATAACTAAGCACATAAGAGGGAAGCATTTGTGTGACACATCTCAACATCAATAAGATATCTGATATAGGCTAACATGACATTATTATTAACAAACTACAGAAATACAATGTAGAAGAAATGTCTCTAGAGGAAGGTTCACAACTGACTGAAAAAAAATACATAAACACAACTGTTACTAGCTGCTTCCTTTCAAACTCCAGGATATATGAAGTCCTCTAGGAGTCTGGCACTGTTCAATATTTTAATTTATGACTGAGGTGATGGAACATTTATGAGAATACTATGTTACAGAGAAAAAGAGACAAGTGTTTTCGAAGACAGGATTAGAATTCAAAACAGTCAACATGAATTAAAAACTTGCCAGTAATTCCTAAAGTTTAATAGGTATGGAGAGCCTACCACAACTTACAAAAGCTGCTATGCAAGACTCCTCATGAACATCACCTTTCTCTATTCCCTCTGAGTCCAGCTAGTGATATAGGTGGTGAACGTCCTATTTTACTGCACAGGTTTTTACATTACTTTGTCCAATCCTAAATCTCATTCATTCATCAATTTCATCTTCAGTTTCAGATGCAAATGACTTTCTATTATTTTGTCATAGACAAACATTGTGTGTGATCACTTAATATTGTTCTGACAGACAAGCTTGGATGCTAAAAATAAGTCATACTTACCTGTTCGCCAGTTTGGCCACGACTCCCTGGTTCACCCTGAAATAAGCACAACATTAAGGCTGCACAGGATTAATGCCTTATCATTATTACACTGTGTCCCCTATTGTCACAACCCATGTTCTTTTACTTTTCCGAAAGGCACTGGAAGTGGCCTCTCCATACTTTGAGATCCCAGAGCACATGTATCCGGGCTAAGTACCATGCCAGGTCTTTCTACATATTCAGACTTGAGAGAAGCATCAAACAGGTTTTGACCTCTTGAAAGATCATGAACTGTGAAATCCAGAGGTCAACCTACCTCCTCTCTTCCTTTTATCTCTCAAGATTTACTGGAATCTTACTCAGCTGACTTCAGTAAAAGGGAATAAAAATCAGGTCTTGGCTGACAATAACAAACTATAAAATGAAAATACATACCTTGGGGCCAGCTTTTCCAGGAAAGCCTTCTTCACCCTTTTCTCCTTGTTCTCCCTACAAGGAACACAAGAAGTGAGTATACAAACTCCTCTGATAATACAGCATATCTGCAGTCTACAGCAATGAATTCTTTGACTCAGTTATCCAGTAATAGCCTGAGAATGTAAAAGGAGCCATACGACAGTATGTTTCCTGGATTTTTTTCTCAGTCTTGTAATATTTGTAGACACATCTCCAGCAGCAATAAGTCTACTAGAATAATTATGGAATAACACAAAATAAATCATCAATATATAGCATTCCCATTCACCACAGCAATTTGAGTGCCAGTTCTCCCAAGCCCCAGTTTCTCACTTCTATTCACCAAAAAAAGAGAGTTGGGAACTCTGCTGGAGCTGGGCTTAAGAATTCCACGCATTCACATGAGAGGCAAGAACAAATGCAGCACATTATTAGAGCAAATAAGGTTAATAGTGTCTAACTATCATAGGCAAGAAAACTTTGATTTGAAGCAATACAAAGTAGCAAATTGTAAGGGGCTGTCAAAATCCTGAACGGCCCCACATAAAAATGGATCTTCTACCAAATAAATAGCACTTTTCTCTTTGACGTTTCATTGACAAAAGAATGGCAACTCAATCAGGATCTCTCCTTACTCTAAATCTTGCAGGTCTCTTTTCCCACTGCAGAAGACAGGAGACCAGACAGCACTTTCAAAATTTGTCATTTAGAAGCTCTCAAGCAAGGTATAAAAGGTAGGGAACAAAGAAGAGCCATCTTTCTGTCATATGGATCCATAGAACACTTAGATGGATGGCATCTCTTCTTTCCAGCCCTTCAGTAAGGAAAGAAAACAGCTCTGGAGCCTGACACATTTCTTTTATCTTTTTTTTTTTTTCAGTTTGTGTCTTGGAAAAAATGTCATTTGTGTCTTTGTCAAATGTCTTGACAATGGACCTGCCATTGTCACTGGCTTTCCTAGGTGACAGTGTAACACTCAGATGTATTGGTGGAATAGGATATGAAGAGGAATAGTTTCTCCTACCCTTGCCAAATTTACAAGCATCTCTATCTTCATAAAGCACTCAGTACAAGTCAATCATGCCAGCAATTTGGTGCCTGTTTCACCAGTGGCTCAGAGATGTGGAATCAGGTGAGGAGGATTCAGCCCTGGGTATCCAACCCACTTCTGACTTATGCTCACTAGCTCATCTGGACAAGCTGCTCAGTTAACTAACTTTATACCAGAGTATGTAGAGTAACTTGCCTTTTGACCTGGAAGTCCAGGAAGACCATTTAGTCCATCTTTGCCAGGCAATCCCTAAATAAAAGAAAATCATCAGCTCTCATTTCTAATGTCAGTTTTTTCATTAAGTCACTAATAGCAAGCTCAGCACGAATATTTCACTTCATCCCTTTTGTCACTGGCCTAAGTTTAAGAGAAGAATCACCACCTCAGGCATTTTCTTCTGATTTTTTTTACTATTGTGAATTAAACTACACAAAACTTGCAATGCATATAGCTACTCATCTCCTTTTCTGGCATCCCACTTTTGATAAATAACCACTGGAGGTCAGTGTTGTTACAGAAAAACAACCATGCAAAAGAACTGCAGATTTTTAAATAACTGTTTGTGTTTATCATTCACTGTAAGTCTTTATTCTCTATAGTTATAGAGATTTTTATAGTCTATTTCTCCTTTTAAAAGTCAGTAATTTATTATACAATATGGAGGCTCTTAAAATTAAGTTATACAATACCTAGAGACAGAAGCATTTGGCAAGATAAGAATTAAAAAGGCTTCCTATAATGCATATAAAACAGTAAGAAAAAGTTTTGTCCCCTTTCCAAATGTCAGTCAATCACTAAACATTAGAGGCTGTAGGTGGCACTCCTTAATGCTAAGTATATATTATAATTCATCTTTATTGACTTTAACAGCCAACAGAAATTGCTAGGCTCTCCAAAATCTCATTTTTTTTTGTTTCAGCTCTTAGATCTGATGCAAGAAACTACAGATATGTAAGAATAATGCCTTTCATCTTTCAAATGAAAATGATTTTTTGAAAAGTAACATGTAAAAAAAGTATACAGAAATAATGGAGATGCACTTGGCCAGTGCTGGTATAGAACTATGTTAAAATTATTACTTATGAAGGGCATTGGATTCTAACGCATGCAGAAAAGGAAATGGAAAGGAGTTGGTCAGCATCAAAATGTTGCATACAGATAAGCTGCAGGAAAGGCAGCACAGACTTGTACTCTGTATGTGAAGTATGTGAGGGACAGAGAGACTACCGGACATGGTCCCTCAAAACTTACAGCTGGTCCTGGAGGTCCAGTTTTGCCAGCAACACCAATCTCTCCAGGCAGGCCCTGAAAACAAAGTGAGCACAGAGGCCCATCAGCAAAGCGTCCCGCGTGCCCATTCCAATGCGACTACCCCCTCCCCAGCAGGCATCAATCCATCCCCATGTGGCACTGATGCACATCCTGCATCCAGTGCGGAGAAGCTGACCTTTGGAGCCAGTATTAAAAAAAAGGAGGGAAAAAAAAAAAAAAAAAAAAAACATTGCCAGAGGCGCCTGTTCAGTTCTCACTGATATTCCTGATGTAAATGTATCCCCCAATGTTTTTCTCTCCTTCATATAAAACAAACAAGGCTCTTTTTCTTACAGATGCTCCAGGAGGTCCAGGAGGCCCAGCAATGCCAGGGGGCCCTGGAGGTCCCTATAAGGGAAGAAACAAGAACAGTTTATCAGACCCAAAGACACTGAAAGCCTCAGGTACTGTTCACTGAAGACCATTTTGAGAAGCATCAGCACTGATCTTTATTTCATCATTCTGCCTAAAAATAAAGAGATATCAGCACTTGCTCCCAGGGAACCACACTCACAAGGAGAGAAGAAGTGCCTGCTTCTCCAGGCAGCTGCCTGCACTACTGATTTCTATCCCTGTGAACTCTGTCCTTGCCTCCAAAATGAGGTATGAAGGAGCTGAAGACCATCAGTGATAACAGGCAACCCAAAGCTTGTCTGGTGGAACCTCTTGTAGCATCCAGCCTAACTTCATCTTGATTAATGTTGTTTATCTGTGAACAATTTACCTCTGCAAAAAGATCTCTGAAGTAATGAATGGAATAGGCTTGTGGTTTGGGTTTATCTGTTTATTTATTTGGAGGGAAATATGAGTCCATCCAGGTGCCTTCATCTAATGAAAAATGATGTAGTAGCTCGGGGAGGGGTAAAATAAATACTCCATAATTTCTGCACTCTCTGTTAACCTTTTTGAGAGTAAAAGGTCCTCAGAAATTCACATCTCACTGCATAAATTCAATCAGAAATGTCCTAAGAGTCTTTCTTACTTATCCCCAGGCAGCAGAATAATGCTTGTGCTGTGCCAGCCTTTTTTTTTTTCCTAATATAATTTTGAGTCAGGCAATAGGGATTCAACTGTTTCTCTTAGGAAAATATTCTCTTAACAGTCATCATTTTTTCAGAGGTATTAATTTTTGAGTGTCCACTAGATTGCTTACTTTGGGTTCCAAGCAAAATAAATAAATAAATAAATAAATCACATTGCCATACTTGACAGAGGTATTTGTTATCTTCAGCTTCCACTGAAATCAAGATCAGATTTCTCTTCTATTCAGAAATGGATTGTTTGGATTAAGACCTAAGCAAACAGCATAAGGATGAATACACTACTGAGATGAAATTTCACCCTGCCTCTCTCTCTTCCTAACATCATGATTTCATTCATTTTTGGTGAAAAGAGTAGGGGAAAAAAAGAGTGCAAGGAATTAAAACTGGGCAAGAAATGCAAAGTTACAGAAACAAAAGAGAGCATTTTCCCTGCTAGATCTGTGTCACTATCTAGTATCACAAATCACACCTTTGTGGTATTAAAGCTCATAGATCAATATCAGCATTCTACTTTTAAAGTAAAAAAAGGTAATTGAAAAAGCAAATAAAGTGATATAAACAGGAGAGGATAAGGAGATCTTGCTGAAAAGAATTTTTGTGGCATGATTTAATGGAGAAGGTAAGCCATCATTTTAGAATATGCCTGGTGGAAATGTCTAGAAAACAGCTTCTCACCAATAGATGGGGCAAAGCAACCAAAAAAGGAACCTGCAGATGCACTTGGCACGTATCTCCTATAATCTGTTTTCACCGCAGACGGGGAATCATTTCACCACCACCATTATTTAGAGTGCTCCATTCATGTGCACAACTCACAAATCAACAGAAAAAAAACATGTCTTGGGACATCCTGGTGCTAGTGACATAGCTTCTGGGGAGTCACACATCTGATTTTGGAGACAACCATTATAGGAAGCCTCACCAGAGAAGTCTCAGTAGGCCCATTCATCACTGAAAAAGGGCTTTGTCATTCAAAAAAAAAAAAGAATCAAGCTCCAAGAGCAACAGTCTAAATTAGCAGAGCCTCCAAAACTATATAGTACACGCGGCTGACATGGCCAAAGGCCGACTGCTGGCTTAGAAAATGCAGCACAGGAGGACATGTGTGAAGGCAGGAGGAAGCAGGAGGATCAGTGCCAGTTTTCATGCAATTTGAAAAGAGGGAAAGGGCCAAAGACAGATGGACATTCCCTGCTTAGGATGTAAAAGTCCTGGTTGACTCTAGCCTCACAAGGACAGTACCTCTGAGATACACATAAGGTCTGGAGAGGTTGCTATGAGAGATGGATAGAGATGAAAATAGCTGGATATAGCTTGGACACAGGTAAGAACAGGACAAGGCCACCAAAGCTTGTAGGGGCTTTCAAAAACAGAACTGAGTCTAACTTTATGACAAACTTTACGGTAAACTCGTTCATCAGCAAAATGGGTTATAGGTTTCTGCAAGAAAGATAAAATGAAAAATTTACCTTTATCAACCTTTCCTGGTTCCTCCCTAGTAGCTTAATTTTCTTTCTCACTTTCACAAAAATTTCACCACCTCCACAACATACACATTCGCCATGACCTTATATCAGGGAGCTTTCACAAAGAGCCAAGAAATCTGTCTAGTTCTCCAGAAAGGGTCAGTCATGCTTTATTTAAAGGTGCAGAATATATAAGAAGATGGATTATGTTATTTCTATTTAATGGTATCTCTCTTGACTTCTTCTTGATTTACATGAATTACCAGCTCGTTCTGACTTCTGGAACAAGGGCATCAAGCAAGCAATTAATAAGGATCATAGATACTGTCATGCTATAGCAAACCTCAGCCTATACCCAGTCAGATACCTGAGCTCAGATACCTGAAGATGCTCAGATATCTGAGTATCTTCAAAGTTAATGAAAGATATCCCAAAAATACAGACATGGGTGGGTCTGCCCCAAACAGAAGTCTCAGTCTAGCATCTAACATTAATCACCATGACCCTTGAAGCACGAGGTTCCACATTCTCCTTGTTCAAAGTGCTATTCCTAGTAACTCCAGATAGTCCTGCTATCCAAGGCAATTTCTGTCTGTTCTCTGTAACAGGGCCACAAAAACCTTATACAGCCGTAAGTCCTGAAATGGAAGCACATTTGCTCATACCCACAAATAATTCACTTTTATTGTTTCCTGTGAGAGCAGTCACAAAGGATATTATATCCAGAACTGGTTTACCCCATCAGGTGCACACATGCATCATCAACAAAGTTACATCCACTGCTGGAGAGCATTACTATTCTGGTAAAGGTCTCTCTGAGATGGACTTGGAGCAGTTTTGTATGACGAGTATATTTGGGATACCCAGTGTGCACAGAGATGTGCAGGATGCTGTCGGTCTGGTCCAGCTGGCTGTGCGTACCAATATATCTATTGCTCCTGCAGGATTTATCACCTTCTGCAACCAGGGTTGCACCAACCAACTGGGACACAGAGAAATAAAATGGCACAGTCATATGAGATCTGCAGAAATACATCACAACACATAAAAGTCCTTTATAGAGCTCTCCCTTTGGCTGGACTGTTCAGAAAAATCAATCTAATTTTTTTTAAAAAAATCAATCTATACATGAACTCCTATTGTTTTGCCCTTTCTCCCAACTTCTTCTTGTCCTCAAAAACTGAGCATATTTCAGAGCAGGGACTTTCTATGTATTTAGAAAGGACCTAACTCACTAACAATATTTATTAATGATCATAAATAAAAAAAAATGCAGCAGCAGCATAACTTCTAGTGGTCTGCTGCAAAAACTCGTATCATTTGTTCTCTACAGTTCCCTTTTGTCACTGAATCCAGATTAAAGTACCTCATTTTACTGATTATGCTTTTTAATGATCATTCAATGAATTACACAGATCAGAAGCCCTGGCCCAAATTTAGTCTCCACTCTGGTCCCTTGAAAACCCTGATCCAGATGGAAAAACAAACAGGCAAACAACAACAGCCATCACCCACACTTTTCATTTTTACCTCTTCTTCCTATAACATTCTTGCCTTTACATGCTATTTTTCATCAGTGTCACATATTCTACCCAGACCAAGACATCCCCAAATAAATTTTCCCTTTTCCATTAAACTTAGGTTGCTATTTTGCATTTCAGCTCAAAACTGAGCAGATCAGAGCACACAAGAACAGAACACAACACAAAGCCTACTGTACTGCATTCCCCACTCTGTCTTAGGTGACCACAGGGAGAGCTTACCTAGCTGTATCTCAGTTTCCCCACCTCCCAACAGGATGAAGTCTCAGAAAGGCTTTGTGAGAAAATCAACTGCTAAACATAGATGTTTTATCATAACGTTTAAATTATTTTCAAGCTGTTATTTTTAAACATTTTGAATGTTCATTAAAATATACAAATATCTGTGGGAAAGAGCACAGGGATGCATGTTTCAGGAGGACGATCCTAAAAACATGTGGGGAGGGGGAGGACTGGGCTCACAATGCACCCAGCTCTATTCCTAAGTCAAAAGAAATGTAGGGACAGTTCTCAGGAAAGAAATCTGAAACCCTAAATCTGAAATTTTAGAGTAGCAGTTGTTTCTGTCTTCCAGGAACCACTAAAGGATGCTGTCTTTCAGTACGTACTCTGCTTCAAAGATGGGCTGGGAAAGGCAGATTTAGGATCTGCACTCCCTAAGGAATCTCTGAAAAGGAACAAAAACCTTTGTTCGTGACTTCATCAGTAGGTTTTTTTGGCTCAAATCTCTTTTCCATGAAAAAGAGGAAAGCAGCATTTTAAGCGGGGGGTGAAGAAATTACATCCTAAGACAGAAATTGAAGCCTGATGTTTTTTCCAGATATCTGCCTCTGGAGGCAAAGTTTGCACCGACTTTTCTCCTGTATGTTATTCCATGAGAACGTCTGGATCTTCTTACATTATAAGAAAGGTGATATTACGAGAAAGGTCTCCAAGATCAGTTCCTTGGATCTGTTCTTCATTTCTCTTCATGTACTACCATACCTATGACCACAATGCCTCTGAATAATTTTCAGTAAAGCCGCATGAGAGTATTATATTGCTCTCTTTGCCTAAATCCTGCCTCATAAACCAAGAGAAGACTAAGAGAATACAGAAAAAGGTTGTGGTTGCTGACATGGAAAACCAAGAGCGTTTAAGTCAACAGATCTGAACATGCATGCTTTATATTCATCTTTAGGGACGGTGTCATAATTCATAAATGTATTACGTCTCATGGCCACAAACTGAAGCATAAGAAGTTCCGTCTCCAGGTGAGGAGCAACTTCTTTACTGTTAGGGTGACAGAGCAGTGGAACAGGCTGCCCAGGGAGGTTGTGGAGTCTCCTACTCTGGAGGTCTTCAAAACCCGCCTGGATGCCACCCTGTGCCACATGCTCTAGGTGTGCCTGCTTGAGCAGGAAGGTTGGACTAGATGATCTCTAGAGGTCCCTTCCAACCTTAAATATTCTGAAATATTCTGAAATATTCTTGTTATTATACCAGCTGGCATTACAATCAGAGTACCAACATTATTTTAGAAAATAAAGTCTTCTGAAAGAAAAAAAACTTCTCTGAACTGCCTATATTCCCAGCCCCATAACAGTCCAGAGTAAAGGTGACTTTATACATAGTAGTGTCTCTATGAAGGAAAATTTCTTGTTTGCAGTGCAAGTCATTATTCGCTTTTTTTTTTTTAACTTAGTGTAAGATACAGACATGATCTCTTTTGTCTGCAGAGTAAGATTTATTTCCCTATTCACTTTCTTTGAATCATTTCACTGAGTCAATGCAGCAAATGAGAAAATGAAACAACAAAAAGTCCTTATGGTCTTTTGCTTCAATGCTATTAGTGTTCTGCACTGCTAAAGTCTTGCTTTGCTTTGCTTTGCTAAAGGTCTAGATCTTATTAAAGATATTTCTGAGCAGTATCTTCCACCTTCAAGCGGCACAGACATAGTCTGAATTTATTCTGAGTTTTGCAGGAAGGGTGAGTATCTTTTTCTTACATTTCACAACATTAACTTGCATTATAAAGGACTTTGCCAAACACCATGCATTTCAGAGAATATCATTTATTTCCAGCTTAAGAAAAGCTGAACTAGAGCTCACAAGATGAACTCTATGGAGGATCCTTAATTAATGAGTATTAATTAAATCACTACCAGACTCTATCATAAAAAGTACAGCTTGTTCTAGTCTCCCTCACAGGTCTTAGTTATCCCACCAGGTTATCCAGCATAAGGGAAGCTGTGGCCCAAAGACATCATCACTGTGAGGAACAGCATTTTCCCTCAAAGATCAAAGAGTTTTGAGATCTGTCTTGCTCTTCTGCTGCTGAAGGGAGCACATACCTCCTCACACAGTGGAGTCTAGGGACCCTTTGAGCTGACCTATGCACCTGCTTTAAAGAGAGCTCAATGGCTCTGCAGGCTCCATTACCCTGTTCTTCATCAATTATTATGGGACCTCGGACAGCCACATGTTCAGACACTGACTGCTATGGAGAACTACCTGCATTTGGAGCTGAGCCCTAACCATGGTAGTTCAGTGATTCAGTTCAGACCATTTGAGCCCTTGTGTAGTACCAGGCCATGAACTCCCATTACTGCCTGTGAATGTAGCCTTGATGCCAACCAAGTACAATGTGCCCAATGTCCTTTCATCTCATGATACTTATGCAGAAAAACACTTGCTATAGCACCTCATCACCTGCCTTCACACCCCTTCTTCAAATGCTTTCCTCTCAACAGACGATGGGACACTGAGATCTTTGGCAACCATACAGAAACACAGAGCTTCATCATTTCCCATGATGAGAAACCATCCATTACAACTGAAAACACTTTTAAATGATCACTTTTCAGTCTGCATTTGAACAGCCTACTGCAATAGAAGTTTGGCCTCTGATTAAGGTTCCTAGAAACTAAATTAATACAAATAAATAACAAGATAAAGACACTATGGGCTCAGATGTGTGTGTCCTTGCTGCAGGAAAATCATTCATATCGAGAGGGGAAATAGGCTCCACCCTTTCTACTCTGTCATTAATGATGTTTGTAAGATGCAGTAAATCTAAAGGCCACTAAAAGTAAATGTTCGTTTTTGAGGGTAGAAATAACACTGGATAACGCTGGAGCAAATAAGCATATGCAGTAGCCATTATTTCAACTGATTTAAGAAAAGAAAACAAAAGACACTTGAAATAAAGTTAAAATTAGATTGGGGTAAACAAGAGAGGCAAAAATAGTGCTATCCTGTTATGTCAAAACACACCCAGAGAAGTTATCCCCAACTTTCTGAGAGTGCCACAGGATTTGTGGCTGTTCTACTGGAATAGCCACCAGTTTTCCCAGAAAGCCAAGAGAGGAACTCCTGCTCCAGAATTTGCCACTTAATTTAACTCTTAAACATAAACTCACCCAAGCAATGACTCAAGAGTCAATCTCATATCTTCCGGTCCTGCTCCAGAGCAGCACTCAGGATTCCCCCTGCACAGTTGGCTGGTTCCTCTGAAGCTTCTCACTGGGATCAGGTGTGATGCAAACAGTTTTTGCTTGCAAAGCTCCACATTTACTGAAGGCCCGTGCACACCCAGACACTTGTTTCTGTGGTCCACCTTAGCTCTTCTGTAGGAGGCAGGCTTTCCTACCACACACCTCTAGACAACTAACCAACTCTTTCAAGGTGCTGAGAAACCAGTGTCTGTCTCATAGCAATAACGACAGGCCATCTTGTCTTAAGACTTTCCAGGTTATAAGACACAATTAGGATCAGATGATATTCTTTTGTGGGCTTTTCTAAGTATTGCAGCAACAACTCGACTTATACAGCTCCTATACCCATTCCTTCTTTTTGCCTGCACAGTCATGAATAGGGTGAGCCATATCAGAAAACATACTTAAATTTAAAATAACAGAGGGAAATGAGGTTGTTTTAGTGTCCTAATCTAGTTTGTGTAATAAGTAATAAGTTGGCTCTAAACACCACGGAGACAGCACAGAAACAAGTGCCACAGACTTCCTTAAATCTCTGTGAAGAGTATCCGTGTAAGCACAACGTAACAAAAACATTTTTCTTCTTGAATATTTTCTGAGCAAACCCAAACAACAAAACAGAAATTCTGATTAAGTGCTTGGAAAAAAACTAGTGATACAAAAACTGCTGTTAAGCTGTAAATTATTTTTGTCATAACCTAAATGTAAGCACTTTCTTCAAACAGAAATATGAATATCTGAAGCAATATGTTCAGGACTGGGTGCTACTGCAGGTATCTGAACAATATTTTCCATTCTAAAATTTATGTTGGAGGAACAGATTATATAAAAAACCCTTGATGGAACAAGGGTAGTATCTAGTTTTAATTAACATAAAGTTTGCAAGCTTTATTTAGTTTATCCTGAAAGGAAGACTATTGCTAAGTTAGCAGTTTTCTCAGATACATGCATAAAATTACTGATATATGCACATACATATATTTTCTGAAAGTCTAAAAGTCACAGAGAACCTGAGCTGACTAAATATGGTGTTATTTGGGTAGATGCAGATATCTCAGAATTAATCAATAGACAGAAATCTTCATCCCACAGTAAGGAAAATCTCCCAGTGGAATACAGCTGGCCATTTTGGACAGAATTTTAATATTGTACTGAAAAAAAAATCTAAAACTAATTGGAAAATACAGCCTTCATTCCTCTTGAAGTCTACTGATGAAATAGTTTTGAATCAGATGTTGCAGCTAAGACATACCTAAAAACATGTAAACCAGCATCAAGCAGAGTTTCACAGAGTAACATTCCAGTTCAACATAAGGGTCTCTATTTGTCAGAACTGCAAACCCCTGGATTTCCTCTCTGATGGTTTCAGCAGATAGGGAACAGCTCCTTACAAAATGTCTCCAAGGAAATCCATTTCTAGATCATGTTTCCTAGTTACAAGAGTATAGCTTGCCAGAGGAAACAAATGAAAAATCAGCTAGAAAAAGCATCTGCTGTCTAGCAGTTTGTCATGTTCATTGCCTTCATCACCAATGGATGTAGAAATGGAGATTCTTCCTGCCGTTTCTTCCCAAACTTAAACAATTATTCAAAGTCCTAATATCTAATATTTACAAAAGTATTATTGAAAAAGCAAATAGGGAGCTACTATTTTCTCCTAAGTGGTCAGTCTAAACAAGGTTGTCTTTCCTGCTTGAGAATGCTTGGAAAGATATTTTTCTTATTGCAGACCACCTTATAGAAGTGAGTGGGGTCAGCAGAAATTGGCTACAAAAGTAGCAAGAATCAAAGCAGCATGGGCTGTTTCCAGCTGGGGCCAAATTCTCTTTGATGAGAATTTGCGCAGCACTGATTAGTCCTCATGAACTTGCAATAGATGCAACTTGGAGTTTTATCTAGATTGAAAATACAGGGATTATGAGACCATTAGCTGAAGAAAACATCCCTCACTTGGAGAATAACCATTTAGCACGTCTACCTTCTACAAGCCAACTCCCAACCTACTATAGTAGAAATATAACATATAAATGTAAGCAAAGCCACAGAAACAAACCTATGCTCTAAGCAGCATGCTGCCTGAATAGCAAATACTCATAAATTGCTTCTTACCTCAAGACTGTCACACAGAAACTATATCTGCAACTACCAAATTCATGTAGCCAATAATTAACTGAGACCTCCCCTCAATATTATGAAACACAAATCATTCTTTTCTGCTATTCTGGAACAATATTACTTGGTGCACAAGCAAGGGGAAAATAGCTTACAAAACACCTCCCTATATTCCTGTTCAAAGTTATTGAAAAAGTGTGGAAGATAAAAGGAACGACTACCAGAGAGGCAGATTCTTCTCTCACTCATACTAGGATAAATCAGTCTGGATATTAAAGGCTAAATACCCTCTTTAGAAGCATTATGATATGAAAGTGACTGCATTCTCGCATGCTGCATTGCAGTTCCAAATCATCTGTTGACGCAATAAAATGAAAACAAACAAACAAATAAATCTCTACAAAAAACAGTCCTCCCCCTCCCTGACCACATTATTCTGGTCATATGAAAATGAAGAAAAGCAAGAATCACTTACCTGAGGTCCAATCAGACCATTGATTCCTGGGAATCCAGGTTCTCCCTTCTTACCCTGTGCGTTTAACAGAAAAGCAAGTTCAGTGAGACTTTCCAAAATCTTTTACTCCAACACAGGTAAATCAGCATAATATGGGTACACACAACATATTAAAGACATCCTGGAAACGAAGGCAGCAGACTATTTGGAGGGGCAGGGTCTTCCTGTCTGCTCATCTCTGAGTTAAAATAATATTACACCCTGTAATCCTGAGTCTGCTACTGCAAACAGCACAAGAATATCCAGACAACCGTGCCCATATCTTCCAAGAAGCCTCATAGGAAAGAACATGAAGGGGAACCCCTAGCCATAATACAACAACCAGGAAACCATGCTTATTTTTGTAGCCAAAAAGGGTAGCAATAGACAAGTGGAAGTTGGCAAATCTTGTGGGAATGCCCATTGCCATCACCCCAGACATACTCTCAAGTACAGATGATGCTGTGCACACTTCCCTGCAGAGCTGCCAGTGGCCTTTAGGGTTTTGCTCAGTTTTCTCTCTAGACCTCAAGGAACTGCTGGGAATCACAGAATGGTTAATGTTGGAAGGAATCTCTGGAGAGAATAGCAACAGAAAGGCACTGACAGTGTGAAAGAGAAAAATGGGTTAAACTGCCAGCTGCAGTTAGGGGCCACACTTGTAGCAACTGCTCCAGCCCACTTCTACCATGAATTAAGCTTCAAGCTTGAAAAAGACTGCCTTGAAACCACACCCCAAAAAAAATCAACCCAACTTATTGGCAGAGTTGATGATAAAGCTTTTAATAAAACCTCTTTTTACAAAATAAAGCCTTGTATGTTTCTTAATGACGTACTATAAATGTAAGGTATGAAAGCCTAAGGCTATTAATTCTTATTATGGACTTTGGCCTGTCCTACTAACATCATATTCATTGCCTGTTCTTCAGAGCAGATGTGTGCTCATCACCCCAGCACTGGCTGTACTTTCACCCCATTGCCCTAGTACAATATGCTCCATGAAACCCTCCTTGAATTAAAAGTTGCTGTAGGAAACAAAACTCTTATTTCTACTGCATACATATCCCCAAAAGTGCAAGAAAACAACAGAGCCTTCTAGCATTTATGTCTCTTAAAATAATATCTTTTATTTTTTTTTAAAGGACTTGTGAATAGAATATGATTTTACTTCTTTGGCCAGATGTATGCAGCTGTTGCAAGGTGCTTTCAGCTAGATCAGCTCAGTTTTCCAACTCCTGCTTTATAAGACTTTTTTGAGATTTGACAAGTGTGTGAGAGGGAAGAGAGGTGGAGGTTACTGAACGAAAGCAAGCTTGGTGACCCTTGAGAAGTGTGTTCAGCTGAATGCATACATGAGCAGAATAGTCACAACTGCCTAAGTATGAGCACCAAGAGGCCAGAGGGCTCGTCATGCCTCAGGTCATGCCTGAGGCACATGAACCCAGGTGTATGGATGAATATGAAAGATTCACAATCTCCAAGTCAGAAACTATGAATACATGAGATCAGCACCAGTGAACAGAGCTCACTGACTCCTCTGCAAGCAAGAGAACTTCCTGCAGAAGAACCCGAGAGACTCCCCAGGCCACAGGATGCATAAACCAGGATCTGGCAAGGTATCCTTGAGAAAAGGGCACCCACATGAATATGCTGGCACTGGCATTCACCAAGCATTGGACCTCAAATGCTCACAGTGAAAATTTCCTACATGGAAGAAGGCACAGAGAAAGAATGTCTGAAACACTACAGGAAAGACAAGGTTGATTTATTTTTCAGCTTGCCTGCTGACTTGCTTGCTTTACTCAAGTGACATATTTTGTGACTCAGCTTTCTACCTGTAAAATAACCTATCCTTTCCCTGAAGTCTAATAAATACTGAATGAATTATATTTCTGATATTGTTAGTAATATACTAGGAGGGCACCAGAGGAGTCATAGAAATATCAAATAGACAGAAGGAGCTTTCTCTCCTTGCTTTCATTTTGCACTGAAATCACATTTCTTCTTAAAAAAGGTATTACAATTAAGCAAGTTTTATGTGACTGATGATGTAATTTGGAAATCACATCATCCATCCAATCCTGGAAAAATCCTTGGAAGTAGCTTATAATTAGATTGATAGAAAGGTCATTAGTTTAATTTCCCACTGTCAGGGGTTATTTTGGCCAGTCAGGGGCAACTCAAGCCACAACAGAGCAGCTCCATAACATTACAACAAAAGCATAGAAATAGTTGCGGGAGAAATTATATCTGAGAGAACAAAGCTCAGTAAAATGTCACATTGCCTAGTAATATGAAAGCCGTAGCTAGCAATTATGCTCTGTTACTTATATCAAGATTCAGCTAAGCGTATAGGAGTGTGTACACTTTGACTGTATGAAATGCATGTTATTTGCCTTCATCAGTAATTTGAATAATAGCACAGTTAAAAACACGCATTTCATTATGAATGAATATATTTACTGACAATTGCAGTCTTGCTCTGGATTTAATGTAGACCATCTGTTCTCATTTTTTGCTTTGTTTGCTAACTTTTCTACTGTCCTGATGAACCTTGCAAAAGCAGATACTGGAACAATTCACACACTCCAATATATAAGAACAGAAACATCCATTTGAAACATATCTACCATATAGGAGACAGGAAACCGGGGGAAACTTTGCTTCTGCTGAAGGACAGATTTTGAAAGGCATCATAGAACAAAGCTATTTCTGATCTTGCTGTCCAACTGCCAGAACACCTAATGGCAAAATGATTTCATAGCATGGTTTTCACTGAAGATTGGCCCTGGGAATGGAGATGATTTTGATGCCAAATACGTAGGAAGTATCCTTGAATGTGCATATGACTGCTAGAATAAATGCCAACTGTCTTTGTAAGCTAGATGGGATGCTAGGATTACCCCTTCCAGCCCTGTCCCTTTAACTCAGTATTATTAGAGGAGATGAAATCGTAAAAGCACCGACATTTTACAAAATTCATATATACTGGGTGATAACAATAAATTAACAAGAGAAATTATTTCTGTAGCCTCGCTCAGCATACAAATGCAACTGGGGTCGGTCAGCTTGCGGATGACTATGCAGACTGCTCGAACAAGGAGAAATAAGGACAAGGACTCAAGGACAAGGACAAGTAGCTCCTTGGCACTAGTTCTTTTCCAAACAGTTCCAGAGGGGTCTCTTCCCTGGCATATTTTCCTAATGTGACACCTCACTCCCTGCAAATAGCAATCAGTTATCTCTTCCTCTTAAGACTCTTCAAGTCCAAGCTGATTAAAATCAAGGAAAAATAATATATAGAGAAAAAAGAGTTGAAAGTGCTCACTGCAAAATTTCAATTTAAAACTGCACAGAAGAGAAACATCATATGAAATCTTATTCTCATCTCCCTATAAAGAGCTCAGCAGCCCTCAGAGGTCCAAGAAATAAACTCCACAAGTGACAGCCAACAAGAATAAGCCTTAAAGCACATGTAAGTTCTCTTAACATCTCTTTTAAGTGGAGTATGACTCAAATCCTGTAGTCTGTTATAGACTGTAACAATCTGTAGTTAACAGGACCCTTTAAACTACATTATAAAACAAGTACGTCACAGTTACTGGAGCTCATAGCCTTGCAATGTAGCTGTAAAGAATCAAGAAAGGACTGCAGAGCTCTCTGTTCTGCTGCATTTTCAGGGATAACCATTCAGAGGATGAGAACACATGAACACAAAACTACTGAAATACGACAGCTGAATAGCTGAATTAAAAATGCACAAGACACCCCTTTGCAACTCATTCCACAGTTAACACTCATTCCTCGTGCTCAAACCCGGCAAAACGTAAAATATTGAATTTTGCAATTAACTTGCACAAAACGGTCTTATCTCTGTTTCTACGTCAAATTCACTCTCATTCTGAGCTTGAGTCTTTGCATACATTATCTTGTGCATGAAGCAGTGTGAAAAACAGAATCACTAACACTTATTTGCCTGATTTCAGTGTGCTGGAGTCTATATATGTATAAGTATTCTTATTATTGCTATATTTTTAATATGCTTTGTAATAAATAATCAGTCTATCAGCATGAAAAAATCTTGAGAGCACAATTAGAAAGATAAACTATCACAACATTCTGTTATGGAACACAACATCACAATCCTAATGTGGGTCTACGTAGCTACCATTTTATGCCAAAGTAGAATGCACAGGTAAGTGTAAATAGATTTCTTTTTATTAGCTTCTTATTAGAATTTCAATCATTTTAAATGATCTTACACTTTTTAAAGAAGAGGCAACTTGAGTCCTGGAATTCAAAGTTCATTGAAATCCACTTTATAAGACTCCTGTGCTTAGGTTGGATTATTCAAAGGTCTCTATGCTTTCTTGGAACATGTATCTGACATTTGTACCTTCTATCAAGTTAGAAAATACACGTTTATTTTGAGCAAATATTCCAGTAGATCAGATATCAGAAGTCAAAAAATAAAATAAAAAAAAAAATTATATCAAAGCATTTCTGTTCTCCTCAGTTTTTACAGAAGAAGAAGACAGGAGGAGAAAAAGAATAAATTGAACTGAGTCCCTGCTCTCAGAGCTTTAGCCCATATGCAGGTAGTTTTAGTAAAATCAGAAGAGACAGCACTGTCTATCACTCAGACATCTTAAAGGACAGATGAGAAGAGCAAAGCGTCATTCTGCCCACTGCGCACTCTTGAGATGAGGAGATCATTGTCAAAATATAGACCTCATCTGCCAGATACTTGGAAATGTCTGGCTAATGAAATGAACATCAAGTTGCTTTGTTCAGGTTGAAACTATTATTTCCTGGCCCCAGAGAGGATCAAAGGATGGATGTGAATCGTCAGATTAGTGGTTCAGCAGATGTACCAAGGAGATTGCTTGTATTTTCACTACAACCATAAAGGCTTCAATACCTGCAACTAAAGTAGGCTAACAGAAAAGTGCTTTCAGATGCCAGATGATCTGTTTCTCCAGCTTATTTTTTCCTTAGCTAGCCTGTTGCCCCCACTGAGCCACTGCACAAAGATGTAAGCCATTTGAATAGCTTTCCACATTGAAGATCTCACACTGAAAATGTATGCTGTGTTTGGGGACTCTTGGTCCCCAAAGAGAGTGGAGGAGGTTCATATATATGGGAAGGCTAACTTCTGATCTATTCGTCTACCAGTCTCTGCAATACCATCCGCTTCATTAGAACACAAAACTCCTCCTCCTCTCTCCAAAATGTCTGGTTTTGCATTGCTAAATAAGACATTAGGAATCTACTGCAACACATTCTTCAGTTCAGCCTTTCTCTTTCTAATGCCAACTAGGGCATTAGAAGCACCTCTGTGCTTCTTAGAGCAGCTGTATGTTGCTCACCCTACCAGGTCTCCACAACTTGTGGTAAGCTTGCCCAAGACAGCATATCTTGGACATGGCTGGGCTCTAACTGAAATCAAGGTTTGGAGAGAGAAAATACAGCTTAGCAGAAAAAGTGAAAAGAGATAGGGTCTAAAGCACTCTGTGAACTCCAGGCATGATGACAGGGCTTGCTCATCACAGCTGGTTATTGACTCATGTTTGTATCACACACAAGCAGAAGACTCTGCAACTGTTTCAAAAAAAAAAAAAAAAAGTGTAGTCTAAATAGAGATTATAGGAAAATTTTTATAAGTAAAACAAATGTTTTCAAGTGATAGATTAAACTTGCAGTAGCAATCTTAAATTGACTCTTTCTTTATTGTAACATAAATGGCAACTCTGTATTTAAGTGGTTCTGTTTAATGGTAACTCTAATATCCCATATGTTCTATTATTTTTGCACCAATAAGAGGAACAGCAGCTTCGGGCCAAAAGAGTATCATAGCTCCTTCTTTCCAAGAAATCGTTCTGAAGTGTACAACCCAATCCTTCTGTTACTAGACTATTTGGCACACCACAACATCTTCTATGAAATCTCATATAAACTGAGTGGGTGGCTCCTGAATTGTATTTCCAACACCAGACAACTCCATCTCTGTCCTTTCCCAGCTCGGGATCTTCCAATTCCAGAAGACTGTGGTTATGAGACCTGAATTTCTGTATATATGGGCTCCAAACACATCTTTTGTCCATTAGTCGTTTGTGCCAACTGTGTAATGACTAACTAAAGCACTGCAGAAAACTAAGAACCACAACAAACAGCTGGTATCTGCATGCCTGTCCGAGCAAGGGCACCATACAAATTACACAGTCTGTGTCTAAATCCTGGTTGAGGCTTTTGAGCTACAGTGCAAATGACAAACTGTTTGGGATAACCTTCTTTGAAATATGTTGATTGAGAGAGTCCTAAAGTCAAATGGATCTGAATTCAATGTCTTTTTTCTTTCAAATTTCCTTTTTAATTTGCCCTTTACATTGTAAGATGTTACAGCAGCATAGATATAACACAGCTCAGGGACAACATTTTCATCAGATAGAAATTGGTGTGACATCACTTCTTGAAATTGCACCTGTATAAAGGAGCAGAGACATGAGCCAAGAAGATCGTTAGTGATTTTCACCTCTTCTGCACAGGTCAGCTCTGGGCAGGAGCCCTCACCTCACACCCAGTCATATAAATCTCAGTCAAGTGCAAGTGACAATTCCTAGTCCTGTACTTTGACTTCTAAGAATGTTTAGAGAAATAGTTGGGCTTTTTAATCAAATTTTTATGAGATGGTAATTAACACCAAGATTTATGCCTGTATTTTGGCAAGAACTGTACTAATGGTGAATGGGTAGTATCTGCTAATCTATTATCTCTCCCACACCTGTAGAACATCCAGCAAGCCTAGGGCTTTATTCATCTCAAAGTGTTCAGAGTCATTGACTAATTGCCTTTAATTAAAGAAAAATAAAATCTATCCACCTCAGATGCCTGATGACCAAAAAAAGGCCCCTAGGAAAAGTCTAACTAGCTAGACACAGCAGAGTCTAGGGAAACATTCAAACACAGTATGTACCAAATGACATCTCTAATCAAATGATCATTAGCAGAAGCATTCTGTATCCTGTCACAGACCCTGACAGATCACTGTCCTCTCCCCAGCTAATATTGTCTATTAATCTTATTCAGTAAACAATGTTTCCCAGCAGGCTTTAAAACAGGACAATTCAGAACTTGTCAACTCATAAGTGCAGCACGGTTAAAAGAGGCAGTGCTAAAGAGGCAAGGTGATATTTTCTAAAGATTGGAAAAGTACAAGAAAGTAAGTAAATGTCCTTTTCTGCTGTGACGTTAACATGAAATTCTTCACCATTTTCCCGAGATTACTAGAAGGCAAGCTTACCTTCAGTCCAGTACTAGGTGAGTTAACTGACACCATCTATAAGACACCTCCCAAGACATATATTTATTCCTTCCTTTGCCCTTTGCTCATAGCCCTTCCACAGAAGATACAACGCAGATCCGAAGAGTATACAAAGGGAAGAGGGGCAACAACCTTCTCAGCAGCAAGAAGCAGACACAAAAATACGAAAGAAAAATACGTGAAAGAGACTTTTCCAGGGAAACCACAGAGGTCTCCAAAAGGTACTGAAAGCTGTAAGGCCATAAAGAAGAAAGGATGCAGGCTTCAAGGATGCTTAAAAAAAAGTAGAAATCAGAGCAGAGAAATATACTTAAAATGCATCAAGGTTCCTGATTCACAGCCTACTGAGATGTAGTACAAATAAAAATTTCAACTCACCCGTTGACCCGGTAAACCAGGGACTCCAGGCTTGCCTTCTGGACCAGCCATTCCCTTTAAAAATAGAAATCAATGAAATCGAAAATTGATCAATAAAAAAAAAAGTCAATGAAATTGAACTTCTATCAAATTAACTGAGAAAGAATAACTAATGAATGATATAATCATGCCCTAGCTCTTCCATGTTGCTGTTACTCTATGGCTACCTAGACAGCTCCTACATGACATATTAATGACATATTAAAGGAAATTTTCATTATAGTATATACAATTTTGTAGAAAACATGGAAGGTTACATAATCAGAGAATGGTTGAGGTTGGAAGGCATCTCTAGAGATCATCTATTCCAACTCCCCTGCTCCAGCAGGGACACCCTAGAGCACAGGACACAGGCAGGCATCCAGGAGAGTTTTGAAGATCTAGAGAGAGACTCCACAACCTCCCTGAGCAGCCTGTCCCAAGGCTCTGTCACTCTCACAGTGAAGAAGTTCTTCCTCATACGGAGATGGAACTTCCTGTGTTTCAGCTTATACCCATCACCACTTGTCCTGTCACTGGCTACTATTGAGAAGAGTTTGGCCTCAAAAGATCAAGTGCCCTGCAAGCAGAACATCTTGACTGACCTTGCTTTAGCCCTTTTTTCTTTTTGTAAATGTCTGGTAAGCAGAAGGGAATATGAAAAACGGGTAAAGTGGCAATGCCCTGATGATATCCAGAGCACACAACTGTAGTTAAATTACATAATTAAAGCCAGACTTAACTCAGTAATACATCTTCACGATGCCATTAATTTTACAAAACCCAATCAACAGTGAAATACAACAAACAACTGAGAATTGAGAACATACTGTGAAAACAAGGCATCAGCGATAGTTTGAAGTGAGATGTCCTGATAGACTTGCATTATAAAATATAACTAGAAGATGCTGCAATTAAGAATGTCAGTGTGCCTAAATTGCTGTAAGAAAAAAAAGTGTTATATTCCCTGCTGAGATGGATAAGCACACAGTCTCCTGTTTTATTGCTCATCTCTGCTCTTCATTACACGATGACCTGCTAGTTACCAATAAGTGTCCCCCTCTGAGATGTGCTGAACGCCCCTCAAGAAGTCAAAAGGAGGAAAGAAGCATCTTCTACAGGACAACAGCCTTGAGACAAAGTCTATTTCTGTGTAATCAGCACGCATGTCCTACTTGTTGTCCTCAGAGTGCTCCGAGTGGCTGCACACAACTGCAGAAGCTCTAATCCATGAATAAAACAGACTATTGGTGTTGTTTAAACACTTAATACCTGAATATTGCACAAGATCTTGCATATATAACCCTCTGACTAGTCTGGATTTCAGTTTCTGTGTTTTGTAAGCAGTAAGGAACTACTACTCACTGGTGGTCCAGGAAGTCCAGGTTGACCTGGTGGTCCACGTGGGCCAGGCTCTCCCTACAAAAATAAGTGAAATAAAGAAATAAGTGTTAAAATATATAAACAAAAAAATATGTGGGCATAACATTTGTACTGTCCACCAGTACAGCTCCTATATGACAACTCCTATACTGTCCACTCCTATACAGCTCCTTCCTCATAGGTTTCAAAAAGCCAATGCAGAGACCAGTTGATTTTCTTTTTCATCCTGGGGCTACTTTAATTATCAGCATCTATTAGACTGCATATAGGTCAATTAATCGACACTTAGCAGGCATTTATCCATAATCAGCTCTTTGTTTTTCAAAGGTAATAACTCCACCAAAGGCACTAGATTATCTCAAATATTCCAGGAAAATGACGTAGGCCAGAATTCAGTGCAGGGAAAAAAACACTCCCTCACCCAAGTGAACCAGCAGAATCAGCACAACTATGAAGGGCTTCAAAGTGTTATGCACACATAGATATCATTATACTAAACTAAAATATAAATTACACACACAAACTCAAAATATTAGTATTCCTATTTTTGTTGACACAGGACTAAGACTGAAATCAGTGTCCTTTCTTTGTTGAAGTGTTGCTGTTCAGAGACAAGCTGAGCATAAAACTCAAACACAGTTCCACTTTTCTATTAACACTTGCCTGGATTTGCAGAATTGTTCTGGGTAGCTGACACTTCCCAATTTACACTCTTCATTCATGTTAAATTCACTGCACCCAAGAAGGACATTATCTTCTTTCTTTCCCCATTTACTCCTTCCATTGTAAGTAGGAGAGCTTGTTTCTTGATGTCCTGACATTGCTGCCTTAACTTTGCAGACTTAATTTTGAAGCAGCATTTTATAGAAAAATCTGATCTAACCATATAAAAGCTTCCTCATAATCGTAACAGATACTGAATGACTCTTACCTGCTGTCCTTTTATGCCTTCAGTGTGTACCTGTAATGGAAATGCACAGCTATCAAAGAGAAAAAGAGGAAAGACACAGAAGTCCTAGGGTGTATCTGTTCCACAAAGTGCATTTTCCTCTCTCCTCCATGCTTCCAGTATACATGCTGACTACCATGACTCAAACCCAATTGCAGGCTGGGACATATGTCTTTAGGCAGTCCAAAAGAGCTAAACGCCTGCTCACCTAGTTGCCCATAAAGCAATTAATACATTTGTGTAGCTGCACAGAGTAAGAAAGAGTAAGAACTTAATTTATTAACTCCTCTGTATTAGCAGTAAATTCCCAAGTCCAGACTTATTTTAAACTGTCATGCTAAATGGAAAAAGCATCATATAACAGGTCAACTTCAGAGGCAAGGCAAAAATGTAGACCTTCCTCCAGGTCCTCAATGACAGCTGTCAGTCTTAGCCAGGAATGTCTTCTGAGAGCTCTCTTCCCTGTGGTAGGTTACTACCACTTTTCAAGTAACAAAATTGCCTGCTGCCTTTCACATCATAACCAGGGAGTTTCTCACTTGTATTTAGTACTCAGTGCTTTAGAATAATGCCCTAGTTAATGTTACTAGTGTTACTGTTTCTTTCATAGTTTCCATCTAGAGTTCTATATATCACTGTCTTTCAATTTTAACCTTTTTGGAAAGTAAAAGGGATATTTTCCAACTTCAGAACTAATTCTAAGCCTCCTTGCTGCATACTTTCCAGCAAACCTTCTCCTTCTTGAAGATTACTTCTTTGCACAGGCAATACTAAGATACCTGTTTGACCCTCCTAGTGACACCAGTGGGGTCACTGACAGTTCCATTGAAGGCAGAGGAATTCATAGAAGGATGTAAAACTTGTGTCAAAGAAAAAGAAAAAGAAGAGAAACAACAGAGCGAAAAAAAAGAAACCTCCAGAAAAAAAAAAAAAAAGAAAAAGGAAAATAAATAAAGAAAAAAGACTTATGTCTCCTATTTCTTAGTTTGTTGTTTCATCATTCTTCCTGATTTTAGCATAGCAGTTCTGTGTATTTTCATGCTCCACCATGGCCTTTTCCACATAGGAGGCACTCAAGGAGGATCTCCCCTGAGCAGAAGTTCCCTTCTTTCCCGTCCCAACTCTTACAAACCCACGATAGCTCAAGTTGATTCTAAACTTTCATTTGCTTTTCTAACTTCCATAGTCTCTGCTTTCCAAAGCCTGCTGGGAATCAGTCCAGTGCGTGTCCCAGCAGACACTGAATCACGTCTCGTCATCATTCACTCCGACACACCTTTCATAACACTTTCCTTGTCTCTTCAAGTCCTAATCTTCACATCTCAAAATCTCCCAAAACTGTGGTAATGTATGTCTTTGTTGGCACACATCACATTCCTCATTCAAAAATCTTTCCTTTCCAAAAATCTTCACTTTGTTTGAAAATGCACTCTCATTTAACGAAAGCTTCAAATCCTCAGCTTCCACCTTCTCTTCTCATGCAATAAAGCTTATAATGTTTGTTAAGCTATATACTAACTAAATAAATACTTACAGAAGTGCCTGGCAGTCCTGGAAGCCCTGGTTCACCCTGCATGGAAACACAGAAGAAAATATAAAAATAGTTTCATACAGATATGAACATGCAATCCTAATTAACCCAATTTTCTCTGTCCTGCAGGAATACATGCAGGATTTGATTGCCTTCTGTTTCACTGAAACATATAACATAAATTTCAATAGCATTTCTTGACTTAAAATGATGCACGGGGGTCCTTAACATTAAGTTTCAGATATCTTATAATCGGTGTACACATACCAAACAGAGAAACCTGCTTCATGCTCAGAGCCCTAATAGAGCCTTCAGGACTGGAATTCAGGAGCCAAAATCCTTTTTTGTTGTTGTTTTTGCAAAATTTATTTGCAGGGAAAAAAAGGCAAGAAATGATGCCATTTTGCCCAGTCATTTTATAATACAGTCATGCTGTAAGTGTTTGCAGGACACTGCATGCTATATGAGGCCTTTTAGCTTCTCAATTTATTCCAGCATATGCATCTCCCTCCAATAATGTCTGCTGCTTATTATGCTATAAACCTAAGCCTTCAAAAGGTCTTTTACTTGTGGTAGAGCCTGGTGCAAAAAAAATCATATAGCTTCCTTTCACACAATTTCTATTTCTTTCTTACTCATCTAGCAACTTGAATGACCTAATATACTTTTCATGCTCTTTCTTCCTCACAAAAGAAGCTTAATTACTATTTATTATTTTATCTGCATAGTCCATGTTATGACAGAAGAGCTAGAGAGGCATATGTCAGCCATGTTACAAGCAACAGAAACAAGATGCTAAACATCTGTCAAAATGGCCAAATCTAGCCACTTTAGTGACAAGAATGAAGTGTTTTGAACTCATAACTGCTCTCTACTTTGTACTTTCCTATGCACAAAGTGAACTTTCTACCTCTTATCACTTGGTAAATGTGCCTTTGCTTGTCTTTTGAAACCTCATTTTTATCTTTTGCATCTGAATGCAAAGGAAAGGAATGCAAAGGAAAATACAGTAGGCTGCCTCTGATCTCTGCCTTCTTAGAGAAAAGGAGAAAGAAAATTCCAAATTGGACACATTTTTCATTTGATGCTGAATAACCAGGTAGGAAATACCAAAATGTCAATGTCAGCTTTAGCTGGGAAATGTGAGGCTGCCCTGATAACTTTAAAAACTATCTGTAAAATACCAAAGTAAAAATACTTGGCAAAAGCAGTGAATAATTATTATGCAGGTAAAAGGGCTGGGTTGTGACTCTCATTCAATTCTTATTTTTAGAGTCAGTCATACATGAGCAGTGTCAAGGAACCAGCTCCCACATGAATTCTTGCTGACCTGCTGGTATTTCTGTTCATCTTTCTTAAATCAAGATTTTCTGGGCCAAATTACTCTTTACTTCTTTCTGCTCTCATCAGGAAGTTTAAATACAATGGTAGAGCTGCTTCAAACAGGCCTGATTTAGCTCTCATATCCTTCTCATATTAAAGCAAAGTCACTAAATAGTACATCTCTATATGTAGAAGAAATGGAGGCCTAAGTTGGAATTCGTAAGTTTGCTTCCAACCCCCTCCCTTGCACCCCTTTCCTGCTCACCTTTTCTCCTTTGATTCCACTGGCACCTGGAGGGCCTGGGCTGCCAGCAGGGCCCTGCAAACAGGTGAGCTCTGCATTAGGATTCGCCTCCTAAGAGCAGACATCAGCCTGCAGGGAGACTCACCAAGTCTCCTGCAGTCCAGCTATTCTTGCAGGAAAAGAAACAAGCCTTAATTAAAGCTTTCATTAAAGAACTCAGAGCAAGGAATGGTTTTATACACAAAAGGTCTTGATTGATAGACATCAGGTCATCAAACAGACCTACTACAGGACATTAGCCTTAGAGTAGTCAAAAAGAATAAGGCTGTGGATTTGAATATCAACAGTAAATTGAACTGAGGCAGAGGCTGATAACAGACACGGTTCCTTTGGCCCAGCTTAGTAGTAAGAAAGGGGAATGAGGATGGCAATATCACAACAGGCACAATAACAGCAGTGCAACTTCAGCCATTTGAGGAGCGTAGTTCGGAGAATGCATCAGTGCCAAAGCCAAAAATTTAGGATAAAACTCAGGCATAAGGATTCCCCTTCCAGTAGATGTCTAGACATGAAAAAGGCAGGAAAGCATCAGAATAACCCAGCTTCTGTAATAGTGTGCCACCTGCAGAAATTGTTTCTTAGAAGTAGCAAACAATCAGCATCCACATTCTCATCCTCCTGCAATTTCTCACTTCATCCACATTTACCGCAAGTATAAAACAGTCCTGTAAACAACATATACATAGCTCATTGAGATTCCAGTGCTGCACCTAACACAGAAAAACATTTCCATCTTATAAGGATAGTGATAAACACCAACTAGAGAAATAGTTTACAGCATAGGTTAAACCATGGATGAGCAACAGAAAGCTATGATTAACTGTCAAATCACCTACAGAGAACAAAATTTAGTGCACTGGAATCCACATTTCCTCACAGAGAGGAAGATGTACCTTTAACAAAGACTTCTAATGATGCTATCACTTGCCAGGGGAAAAGAAAAAGATGCGTCTGATATGGAAGAATAATTACTTCTCAACAAAATCAAACTGAAAACCTGGCTGACAAAAGCGTGAGAGCAAGAGGTTTGGACACTATTTGGCTGCTATGCTTCAAAGTCATGTTCAGATCAGACCCTGGGAGCTCTCTGCTTCATCTGTGCAAGCAACAGAATTAAATACCTGGAGGCAATCTGTCCCATGGAGGCTGTGTGCCTTCTACAGCTCCTTCACACCTTCAGGCTAAAAAACACAGCTCCAAATGGGCCTTTCCAAAGAGGGAAATGGCAAAGGCTAGTGAACAGGCTGCCAACATAAGAGTCTGGAGCTACAGGCTTCAGGCACAAGGTTGGCAATGATTAGCTGCATGACTTTTGGCAAGCCATGTCACTTTTCAGCCTCTGCTTCTTACTCCATCCTTTGCTATTTAAATCAGATGATCTTTGGGAGTGATTCTCTCATTAGGGATAGCTCCAAGAACAATGGATCCCACAAAGTGTTGTGAGATCTATGGACAGGAACTTTCAGATACAAATAGATAAGATATTGTGCTATTTATCTAGTCAGCAGCAGCTTGCTGGTCTGTTTCAATCAGAAGAACAAGAGACATGACCTTTCTGGCATCATCTTGGCTAATAGTTCCAAATATTTCTTATGAAAACAAACCAAATACAAAGTTCTGTTCTCCTCCTTTCAATTCTGCATCACGAAAGAAAATACCTTTATAAAAAACCTTAATTACAAAATTGAATTTCTATGCACGTTTTCATATATTTGTTATGATGGTTAAAGTATCTGCATTTCTGTTACATGTATATCATAATATAAAACTGAATTCAAAAACAGTGTGCAAGAATGGATCATTAGATTAAGGAGTCCAAAATCGACCAGTGTTCACGGGGTCCGTTTGTGACACAGCAGCTAGCCAAGGTAAATCCCAGTTTTAGAGCCAGCACCCACTCATTCCAAAGAAAAGTCACAGGCTATTTGCCACATACCTGTTTCCCTTCCATGCCTGGCTTTCCAGGGAACCCATCTAGGCCTTTTTCTCCCTAAAGGAGGAACAGAAAGAACCACTATAATCCAAATACCAAGTCTTTAGATTACCACACTGCAAGTGACATCCATATTCTTTGTTCCAAGCGTTACGATAAAAGAGAAGCAATTCAAGCTAGGCCCATAGGAAAAATGGTTAAAACACATGAAAAGTTCACATCTGCACCAGACATTTTGTCTGGTAACAAGACGGTGAACTGAGTTGAGTCAGTGGGAACCATTTATCCCCTCTAACTACAGTAGTTCTTGGAGCACCGAATAACTGGGATGTGAATCCAGTGGCCAGATGCTCCGGTGTGCTGGTTTTCCATGGGTCATTCTCCCCTTGCATGACAAAGTGGGCTCATGTAAACTGAACAAAGGGCACAATGTGAACACTTTACTGGAGTAACTCCCATGAAAAATAATGAATTCACAGTCCAGCAATAGCTCATTTCTACACAGCTGGCAAAGACCTGTGATTTTTCACCTTTGATTTCCTTAACCTCGGAGATCAATTAATCCATTCTTGTAAGTCTTCAAAGCTGTAGAGTCCCCAAACTCAGCAAGCAATCCATTCCAAAGCTTTATTTTTCCTACCTGTGGATATTTCTTCTCATCTAAATTCAACTTCTTGATGCAGTTTCAGACAAGTATCTCTTTCCCTAACCCCGCTGGACATAGAGAACAGACTGTTCCCTTCATCTTGACAACAGCCTTTTATGTGTTTAAAGACTTAACAAAAAAAAAAAAAAAAAAAAAAAAAGAGAGAGAAAAATCTCCTTCAAGCATCCCTAGACTAAACATCTTCAGTTCTTTCAGCTCTTCTTCATGGGTTACATTTTTTAGACCTCTTTTGGGCACTTTGCATTTGTCATCTTTACTGTAGTTTGGTGCCCAAACTGGACAAGCTGTGGCCTTATTAACTCTGAGCAGAAAGCTTATTTCACGCCTTACAAACTATGCTTCAGTTTAAACCCCAGGTCAGTGCTTGCCTTGCTCTAATGCTTCAGCCTCTTTCTGTAGAATGGCTGTTTTTGTCAGCATTTGCATCAGTCCCCATTCTGCACTAGTATGGAATTTGTTTCCTGCATATACGTAGTGTCTTGCAGTTTCCCCTTGTCAATGTCATCCTACGCTTTAGAGGATTATGGTTTCTGGATCATTCTGAATTCTAATCCTGACCTCTGCTGTATTTCCAAGTCCCTCCCAGCCTTGTCTCATACTTCAACTGAATAACCATTTTCAGTATTTTATCATCCAGGTCCGTGATGGCAATGATGAAAAGATCAATGACAACTTTCTGCAGAACTCTACTTTTCTAGCTGGCCTGTGGCTCTTGCCTGTCTATCCCCTTTAAGTTAAAACTTTTTTGAATAGGGATTTTCTCCTACTGTTTAAGCTCTTAAACCTCTGTAACATGAAATGGTGACTTTCCTTCAAACCTGCACCCATTATTGAGTACAAACAATTAAATGTACACTGCCAGCATTAGCACAGATGTACATATAAAAATGGGTTTTACAAATATTCTACAAGATGGCAAAATATTAGATTTTCTGTTTTTAAAACTTTCAGACATTTAAATTCTGATCAATATCCTACAGTCCCAAGACTAGACCTGAGTTATTATCCGCACACCAACACTTACACCGTCAGATTTAATTACTTCCTTTAAAAATATATTGATTCAGCAAGTTGATTTGCAAGAAATCAATTCGCAAATCAATTTATTTTTTCCTCCTTTAGAAAGTCAACCTATCTTCTAACAAAAACATTATTTCAAAATTATGCATCCAAGGAATGGAATTAAAGAGACCATATCCCACAGAAAATCGTAGAAAACCAGATATGGACATTCTAATCTATTCTCCTTTGCAGCAATAGTTTTCACATGCACCAGAACATTTTCACTGTCTGACTGAACCGTGAATATCCTACATTTGATACTTTCAGTAAGCAACAGTCTGGTAATTGTTGAAAAAATGAGCACTATATTCTCTGGAGAATTTTTTAACATCAATACACTGCAGCAATGAGTACTCACATACACTCATTTAACTGCCCAAACAGAAAAGAGTCAATATTCCTACTGCTGCTAATGGGGGCTGGGAAAAGCAAATGTATTATTTATACAATTGTATACACTACAGCTGCATGAAAATGCTCAAGAACTGTGCTTCCAGTTATTTTTTCAGAAAAAAAAAGTCACTTTAAATTTCCTTTTTCCCCCATTCTTTAAAAAAAAAAAAAAAAAAAAAAGGCATATAGGAAAAACAATGTATCCTTTTTCTAAAAAGGAAAAAAATTAAGTGGTTTATTCTAAAACCTCAGCTCAGATGCCTTCTTCTACAAGTTCTTCTCAAATACAGCTTGGGAGCTCACAAGGATTTATTAGCTAGAGATATGTGCTTATTTAGCAAAACCAGTGCTTCACGACACATTGAACTGTGGCACACATTCAACATGTCAAGTATTACAATCTAGGGTTTTTGGTGGCAGAGCAAACTTACCTTTAAGAAGCTTATGTGGTCTGCAGAGAGCCCACTAGAAGTGACAAGGACAGGAGGTGGCCATCATGCATATGCCAACATGCATGTTACAGCTCTCCAAAAGTGCAGCCATAACAGATAAGACAAGACCTGGGAACCTCACTATAAAAATTCCATATTGTCATTTGAGATCCCAGGTTATAAGAATGTGACATCAAGATGCATTACAGGATATTCAGTCTCTTGCCGTAGTAGGATGCTAGTCCAATAGACCAGCATCAGTGCACAGGCTAGAGACAAGGAGCCTTTTTTTCCCTTAGATGTAGAGAAATACAGGTTGTGGAGGTGGCTGTATTCAAGTTACGGACTGAACAGCAGACAAGGAGATACTTGGCCCGCCACATTAACGCCCACAGTTTTCACAGCAATCCCAACTGGTAGAAGATAAAGCAATGGCAGTGTGTGTTGTGAGAACAGCATCAAAGCCTGGTAAATCAGAGCACAATTGTTGTAGCAGAGATCCTGGCTCTCATGGTTGTTCCAAGAAGGAGGGAAATAAAGAAAAATAAATAAGAGGCTTTAAATTTTGAACGTCCTCGTAACGAAACAAAATCCAATTCATTTCTTTCATACTTTAATCTTTCTCTAGCTTAGTCAGCTGTCTGCCCACTCACTGCTCCAACTTCCTCTCCCATCACGGTGATGTCAGAAAGATGTATTTTCTTCCAGAAGCCAAAAATTCCAGCAGATTAGACAACCTTGCCTCAGGAAAAAGCAGCTGAGAGACTGGCTAGACACAACATTGAACCAGTCCTGCAAAGGGCTGAGGCAAAGGCACAGGGAAAGATAAAGTGAAATCCAGCATTTTGCTGCAGCTGCAGTGGTGAGAATAGATAATATGAAATACAGTCATCCCTACTTTATCATAAACAGAATGGATGCTGGGAGCAGAGACTGCAACACACAGTGAGCCCAAATTCTATCTCACACTAAGGGCATATTGATCATTTGTGCCAGTAAGTACCAGGGTGCAAATCTCAGGGTTTCTCTCCCAGAAGGAGATGGAGAGTGAGAAATGGGAACAAGGCCAAGTTAGGAAGCTAGTAACTCTTCCCATACATCCAGGTGCCACCAAAGACAGCTTGAACATAGGCAAACCTGCCAGCTCAGCACTGAGATAGTCTTGTTCCAGGACTGGTTTGGGACATAAACAGGCCATTGCACAGCACTGCAAATCACTTAGTGCAGGCAAGACATGCCCTACAACCTGTTTTGCTCAACTAAGAAAAGAGGCTACTTCTGTTAGCCAAGAGCCCATCTCTGCTCCATCTCTCTCAGTTTGTGGGACAGCTCTGCACTAGTATTTATTTCTCTTTATAGTAGAAGCAAAATGTATTCTTGACGGCACTTCGGAGAAGCATTAGGGGGTCAGTGCACCTGAGATCTGACTATGATAAACAAACTGGAATAATGAAAAGCTTTGTACCTGCCCAGATGCTTTAAACCTTATCCCATGTATAATAGGCACTTAGCTTCTTTTCTGTAAAACCACATTCAGCCATCTCCACCCATTGCACAGAAACACTCTCAGGGAGTTGTGAACTGGAACAGTCACAGCCTGCATTAACTTCCACCAAAGGCTTATGGTCTTTGCTGCCTGGCCTGCACTGAGGGCACTTTCCAGGCTATATCACAGCACATGCACTTTTCCTGCTCAGTACCAGACGGTGGTTTCAGTGCTTGCTTTGGGTGGTAGAGAAAACCAAAGTGCTACTTGATTAATCCAGTAGTTCAAAAACCATCCAGGCTTTGACACCTTATCAAGGAGTATTCTGGTATTCCCAGAAAAGAGCTGAAAACTGGGGAGCAGCACCAGTTCAATGAAGCCTTTAACATAAAAAGTAACTGAAACTGATTCAAAATTGTTTCAGTGATGGGAGAAGACAAGAATGCACGTAGGAAGCTGAAAAATGCAAGAAACTGGTAGCATTGTGGGAAAATGCTGTCACAGGTGGTCACTTAGGGTTCCTAGGTGACACACTGCACCAGCTGTCCCCAGTGACATCCTTTCACCATGTCCCTCCTTTCTTTCCTCCCTGCCTGGCTCAGCAGACAGATCTAGACTCCCAAGGGAAGTCACTCCAGACAATGCCGGGAAACTCAGAGCATTGCAAAGACTCCCCATCATCTGTCCCCAAAGCCTGGCCAAGACTTTTCCCCTCGTAAAGAGCCAAGGGTGCAGAGAAAGAGCAGGTTAGCTTTTCCTAGCACACAGCCAGGCTTAGCAATACCTTATCTCCACGTGTTCCCTTTTCTCCTCTTTCTCCTTGTAGACCCTAAAAAAAAAAAAAAAAAAAAAAAAGAGATTTAAAAGCTTAAACAAAGAAGTTCTCTAAGGAGGAACTGGTTTAGTCACCAAACCACTGACTCTGTCTGCACATCTATTCAAGTTAACCTCAAGGACTTTTTCCATATTGCCAGTCCTCAAACTTGGCCACAAACATTGTCTAAGTAGACTCTCAGAGCGGGGCTGACCTGTGAGCCCAAGAACATCTGTAATACTATACTGCCACCAGACACATGTCCCTCCCACCTGCAGGAGTGAGTAAGGATAGGGAACACCCCACAGAAGCAGACATTCTGGAAACCACCCACTGCTCTGTATTTTTCATGTGTTCATAAAACAATGGGAACTTAGTAGATTTTTCCATTAGTGTTGTCTTCTATTACATTTGCAAGGAAAAATGCCCATTCCTATGGTTTTGAATACAGCAACTAGGCAGAAAACAGGTATCTCTAAGAACTGACACTGTCTAATCTCTGTCCCAGGAGCTCAAGCTCATTTCTGAACTGGAAATCAAATGTCAGAGTTCAAAGGAACTGGGTAATTCAGCTCCTTTCAGGCACACCAGAGCCCCACTGACTGGGGTTTTGTTTGATAAAGGATAGCACAGGCAATAAAATTAGTGAGCAACCACTGATTTCACCTTCCCTTAGTTCAGGAAGCACCTTGCACTTTATTGTAGCAACTGTGCAATCACCTAATGACTATAATCAGACAAATATGCTCAATCAATAGCAAACTCCACAAAACTGCCAAAGCTTAAACATTTCCTATTCTAGTGCATTTGCACTTTAAACTGTAGTCTGCTTTACACAATAGTGCAGGTCCAACTCCAAGCTGATGAGAACTGCCTGTCTGGTCTTATTTGGTCCAGAAGGTAATTTAGTTAATTAAGATATCCAGCTTTTAAATCATGAATGATGGTGGATGAACTCTGCATAGTCCTGTCCATCACTAATGGTTTAAACTAATAATTTATCACTTCACATGCTGCAAAACAACAACCTCACTACTTCTAAAAAGCAGATGGGAAGAGGTTTAAAATATGAATCCTTTAATGCACTATTATCTACAGCACCATCAGGTACACTGACAGGATGATTGCAGCCTTGTTACTCACCAACAATCCAAATACAAGTCTGATGATGGAAATTAGGTGTTAGGTAACAGTGGACCAAAAGTGCTGCACTGAGTGCTTTGCTTCACACACAAAAATGACACAAAGGAGCAAGAAGGAAGCAGTCTCTTAATTTTGTCTTTTTTTTTTTTTTTTCTCTCATTAATGCTGTAAGGCTCTATAAAGTCACTGCCTTAACTACTTCATCTCCTTCAGCCCCAATACAACTCAGCCTTACAAGAAGCCGAAGAGGCTTACACCTGGGCAAAGCTGTTTTGGAAACACTGGACCTTTCTGCAGCAAGTTGTCTGCAAGAACTTGGTCATCACAGAGAAATCTTTCAGTGTATGAGTGTGCTACTGATGTACACTGATGTACAGTCAGGTCATTAAGCTTTAGGAAATCCAATCAGCTTTTACAACACCAACTTAAAGGTCACCTCCATTACCAAGGTGAGGCCATGAGACAAAGGTGCTAACTGAATAGTCATCTGATTTATTTTGGTCTTGCTGTCTGTTTATCAAAGGTAGGTTTGCCTCCTGAGCTCAAAGTGCTATATATGCCTTGATAGTTTTGAAATCATGACTGGAAACCTGCTGAGAGGTGGCATTTTTGCTTGGTGTTGTGATGAAGCTTTCAAACCACCTATAAATGGTGCATCAACATAAGCCAAAGCAAATGCATTACAGTGGGAACATCAAAAAATCCCCAGCTGTTATCTTGGTAATCAAGTCATTTCTACAGACAGCTCTCTACTGGCAAGAGGTCTATTCTCTCTTTAAAAAGTCAGAAAAAAAAAAAAAAAAAAAAAACAGTGAAGATGAGAAAATGTCACTATTTGGACATACAAAAGATAAGTTGTCAGACATACCCTATACCACTTAATAAAAGAGATAGGTGAGCAGACACACTGAAAAAGTGGAAAAAGTTTCCAGACTGCCAAAATATAATAAGAAAGTCATGACTTACCGGTGCTCCTACATAGCCTTTAATTCCTGGAGGACCTTGTTTTCCTTCAGATCCCTGGTAAGGAAGTTAGATACAGTAAAACAATAAAAACTTTCACATAAAAGAGTAAGAATAAAACAGATTAGTCAGAAATTAAACTTGCACCTCCTCAGCTCTCATCAGACTCCTGAGGCTTCTCGGCTGCCTTAGTGCTACTACACAAAACATTGCCCAGCTTTCCAACAACTTGCCCAACGTGACTCTCAAATCTCTTCCTTTATGGAGGCATTAGCAGTTATATCAAATTCTTCAGTTTTACCGTTCTGCTTTCAACCTTGCCCTGTAAAGGCACACCGATATGCGCAAGTTCCTATGAAGGTTGTTTCAGAAGTTTTGGTAAGACTGGTAAACTTATGAACAGTTTACGAGAACAACTGTAAACTGGATGAACTCACTTATGTGGAAGCGAACCATCCCACAAGCTCTAGGGAAAATTCAAAGCCTCAGTAGCACAAAACAGAAGTGGGTTTGCATATGGACAACACAGGCCGCTCTGGGTTCTCTGCATCATTAGGCACCTAAGGACTGACTTGCACCACGTGAGCAAGCAGAGCAGGCACACAGTTAATCTCTGCCTTCAGCCTGCAGGAAAATAATGCTATTGTAGTCTGGTCAAAACCCCTACAGAAAGAGAAGTCTGCTTTAAGTTGTCCAAAGTACCTAAGTTCAGCTCAGACTGTTATGTAAATTGTATTTTTTACAGTCAATGAAAGATATAGATAGAAAAAAAATAGATTTGTCTGGATGAGAAGGCTTGCTGAGCCCCAGTCAAGGCCTGTGTTGAGACAGTGTCTGGTAAACCAGTAAAGTGTTAGACCTTCTACAGCTGAAGCAAACAGAAATAAGAAAAATTGTCAAAATGAAAGCATCACCTAATATCTTATATTTCAAAGGTTTAAATTTTTCTTTTTCATTTTTTTTGTATCAAGTATAGATATCTCTGTCAGTTCAGTGCCACAGTAATGACAGCCACTAAAAGTCTCTTTAACCTTTTATAAAGGTACAGAAAAAAAAGAAAAGAAAGTAAAGGTTGAATATTAGCTGCAGGATTGTACAGACTAAATTCAAACTTGAACTCTCAAAAATTTAAACTTGAACTGCTAAGTGTGCAGTGAGGGATTCACAGTACAGCCCTTTTTTAGGCCATTTCTTCCATTATTTATGTGGCAACCTTCTTCAGCAACCAACAGATATTTCTTGCCATCCCAAATCACTGTAGGCTCTTCTGTAATTGGAAGATGCTATTGAATAGCATAAGGCTATTTTGACAGTCCTACTTTTCTTTTACCCACTTGTAGTTACCAAGATCAGACTTCCTTTTTAGTGACCACTGAAGTTTACCTGCAGAGTTTGAGAAGAAAAAAAGAACAATTTTATCCTGAGGACACTGAGGTGGGGACAGTCTCCCCCAGAGATTTCACTGAGCAGCACGAGCAGTAAGCGTAGAGATGGGATGCTGAGGGCACTTCATCCATCTAGGGACCTTACTTATCATCCATCTAGGGACCACTGGGGATTACAGTGCTCTTACTAGAAATCTGCAATACCCAAATGTCTGTTACTGGAAGTTTCACCACACAGTCAATGAGGTCTGTAAAAATTGCTTGGCACCTTCTTAAAATAAATAAATAAATAAATAAATAAATAAATAAATAAATAAATAAATAAATAAATAAAAGGACATGCCTACAGTTGCCATCAAGGCAAAAGATTAGAAATCCTTCAGCCAAGTAGTTAAGCAGTTGGCTGAATTTCTGAGCGTGCACTGCTCTTGCCTGTCTCAATGCAAATGAAGACGGATTGAGCCAAGAAGAACTGAATCCCAAACCATCAGAGAAACTGCAAGTTAGCTCTCCATGGAGCCTAGGGTAGGACCTCAAGGTTTCAAAGTCACCGTATTGCTGCTGACGATTTTAAATACAGATAAGTGATCTGACAAAAACCCAGCCATTACAGCAGTAATTGGGGATGTGACCTTTCCGGTCACCAACCCCAACCCATCTTAGCACAGCCTGTTCCACACCAGTGAGGTGGTTGGCTTTGATGCTGAGAGTAAAGGAGCGTGATGACCCATATTTTATGTTTTAAAGCCATGTCAGCACAACTGGAATTGTTTCTTAAAATAGCTCAGTCCAGAACCTAGCTCAAGGACACTGCACGCAGCCAGTGTGCCTATGAAAATAAATAAAAGTCACAGTGAAAGCAAACAATCATGCTATATTTAGACACTCCAGTTGAGAGGCTGGGGCTAGCAGAGGTCAACTCTTCAATGTGAACACTTGGCATCATCTAGTCACTGTCCAGGTTCAGCCACATCAGCACTTCTCCTGCCCAGCCCTTAGGGCTGCTGCACAGTGATTCCATCACTGCCTCAATACTTTATTGAACTATTCATTCTGCTTTAGAGATTACTGATCGTCCCAGTTGGAAATATGCAGCATTTTGCAGAATCAAGCCCTTCTACAGGTAAATGTAAATACCTCAGCTGACTTTGGTCTATAAAAATTTACAAAGCAAGGGTGAAGAATTCATACCATTAGGAGTAAGAGGTATCACGCAACCTATTGGCTTACAATGCTACCGTTAAAAAACATGCAGAACAAAGAAAGCCTGTATGTATCAAGCGATAAGAGAGACTCAGCTGACCAGCATTTCTGAGCAAGAAAATATATATATCTACTCATATAGAGCAGAAACAGAAAACTCACCTTTGGACCTGCCGGTCCAGGCAGTCCAAATTCTCCTGGCTGTCCTGGTTCACCCTGTAAGCAACAACGTCATCAGTGGTAAAGGCTACTCTTGTATAGGTTAGAATGACTCAAAACCATTATTATATAGATCTTTAGAAATGAAAGCAGTAGCCCATAGCTACAGAACTGAGTACTACTATTCAAAAATCTGGAAATTTGCAGGTGCTTTCTTTGCAAAAATAAAAGCAGCAAGAGATAAAAGAACACTGAAGTAAATACTCATCTGTTCTTCAGACACAGCAACCTGAGCAGTAAGAAATGAGTTCCTCAAATGGTGAAAAGCTTGCACCATCTACGATTTATATATGCTGATTCCTTGGAGATAATGCTATGAATTAGATCTCTAATAGTCATCTTTCAGTGCAATAAGTTTAAGAAATTCTACAAGTCCTAATATTAGGACACTATATCGCAGGATGTCACTGCCAGATCTCAGATCATGCCATTTAGGGCAAAAGTTACATAAATTCTGGAAACTATCTGGGAACATCTTCATCCCTCAGAACTGGCAGTACTTTGCATGGACGGGACAAGTGTCAGTGGGACCTGTGTCAAGTATGGCAAAAAGCAGAGAAAGAATGACAACAACAAGAAACTTGAACATTTTCTGCTGTGTACTATTCCTTAGGTGCATTTATGCTCTTGCAAAGAATCCTTTCCCAAAGTTCTTCCAACCACATGTCTTCCAAGAAGGAATAACAAAGAGATGATGAGGTCTATAGCTGAGGCAAAAAAAGGAGCAGTCAAACCCAAAGATTTTAGAAAAATAGCCCATTAGGACTAGTAGGTTCAACAGGCAGCCTATGGGCTCCAGCGATCATGCAGGGCAAAGCAGGAAAACTCTAAAACTAACTTATGTAATGTGCTGGAAAGTGTGTGTTTTTTCTGCCTTAACTGAAATTCTGTTAAAGGCAATATTTGGCTTGTTTCATCTTCCTTTGAGCTAGCCTGCAGCTCTTCCCGTACTCTGAGTATTTAAGCACTGTTCAGGGGGAGGTAAGCCTTCTGTGGCCGGGATGCCTATTTTTCTCATTCCTGCCCATTTGCTCCTGAAAGCACAAGATGGTCCCATACATCTACCCTCCACCCGCCAATAACTCTTTGCCAGCCTCAAAACAAACAGTCAAGCTTTGGGGCTGCAGTTATTAAGCAACACAGCTGCAGCAGCAGGTCCCTAAGCACAGGCTGCCAGCCTGCCCCTTCTTCTTGGCTTAATGAATTGCAACAGCCCCAGCCCAGGAGTCTCTTGGGATAGCAAATCCATACGACATCCATAGCCATTGTGAAAGCGCGAGGGGGAGGGCTGGCGTTATTAACCTCTTGCCATTTGTTACTGCTGCTCCTAAAACGGCCACACAAATCTCCAAGCCATATTCCAGTCAATACAGATTGATTTCCACTGCTTGGCTTACGCAGAAAACAAAGGATTCTAGAGAGGAACAAAAACACTTACGGTTTCTCCTTTTGCTCCATCCTTCCCAGGGGGACCGGGTGAGCCCAGGGACCCCTGTAACAACAGAATTATCATCAGCATAGTATTAACGTCAGCATCAAGTGCAAAGACATGAGTAATAAAGCAAGAGGAGAATAGGGAATGAGAAGAATCATTTCTATGCAAACATTTATTATTTACAGTTTCTGGAGGAGCTGCTGCTGATATTAACACACTACAGGCCAACTGATGAGCTGCTAATGAGGAACTAGGCACTCTTAGCCACTTAACTCATTTAAAAATAAATTAATATGAAAACTTCGCAGCTAATTAGACATGTCACCTCTGAATCAGCTTAGTATTATTTTAGCTCCTTTTTTTATTCTATGTTTTTAGAATAAAACCATCCATCTTAAACCCCAGAAGCCAGTAGGCACAGTTATAATACACATACACAATGAGTCTAAAAGCAAAAAGAGAAGCCTCAAGAACTCAAGTAAACTTCATGAACTGCTCTACCCACCAAGAAGTCAATCTCGGAGCACAAAGTTATAAAACAAAGAGAAAAACACGCATTGTTTTCGTACTTTTTTTTCCTCCTCCCCCCCTCTTTTTACTTTTTTTTTTTTTTAACCTGTCTATACACTAGGAGGAACAGGAGTAAATTCGTTCAGATTGACAGAGCCAAAGATAACGGGGACTGCACTAGATGCAGAAGAAAGCCAAATTTTTCTCCAAGCAGCTGGCAATCTAAGGAACGGAAAATGGAAAGAAAAAAGAAGCAGAATATGCAAGGAAACGTATAAGGGGAAGAACTGGCCTGGTGTTTTTTAGGCACTGCAGCAGTTTCTTTTCAACTGGTTTTACCAAAAAAAAAATAATAACAATAAAAATAAATCAAATGAAAAGCAGACACAGACTGCAATTCTATGTTCTGATTAAACTTGTTTGCTATGTTTTACTTGATTTTTTTTGTTTTCTTTTTTTCTTTGTTTTTATCTTGAAATCCTCAATGTGCTATTTTACAAGACCCATAAAAGACCTAAATTCCCAAAATCTCTCCTACAAGTAGGATTTAAGGCATTTTGGACTATTGTCTCCAAAGTAAATAAGAGTCTGTGGAATAACTGCTTTAAAAGGGGGGAGCAGAGAAAAACTAGTGTCTAACAGAAGTTTTGGCATTACAGAAGCTTCCTTGAGGTGATACACAGTTGTCACTTCCAGGATGGTTGGTTTGCAGACTCTGTTCCTCTACAGACAGCACAATCTGCCCTCCAAGCAGCTGCAAAGAGGAGTAACAGAGGGTGGAGAGGAGTGAAGACATTGAGGCCAAACTCTGTGGTACTCTCTGTTCTGGGCCACTGATAAACCACCAGTAGCTGCTCAATGGGAGATATATGATGAGATGTCTGGTTCAGAGCCAGCAAGGGTGGCAAATCTCTCCTTTTGGATGAACTTTGCTCACTGTAACACAAACACACACTTCCAGCCCCAAAGTTACCCACCTCCAAGGTACGACCACTCCTCACTGAAAATGCACTCTACATTTTTGATTGACTATGTCTTGAAATGAAAGCAAGAGACTTTTTCACTAATCTATAACAAAAATAAGTATGGCTACAGTCACTCAAAGCTCTACATACTTCAATGAAAAAAAAAAAAAGAAGAAAAAAAAACATATAAAATGAGAACTAAAGAGGGAAGAAGTTGGAGGGAAGACACCATCTAAGTTCCGGATCGGTGGATGGGCTGATCCTTTCCACATCTTGGTTCAGGATGCCACCTGAGGAGACTTCTCGAGGTTGAGAGCCCCCTCCCTTCTTCTGGGGTGAGGAGAGATGATTGCACATTTGTACTTCAGAATTAGCTAAAAAACCCAAACTGTAGTAAAGGACTTCCTATACTGACATCCAAAACCTGTTCTCTAGATGTTGCATTTGAATAAATCATGCTATTCATGAACTTGACTACTTCTTTTAAAGGCTGTGGGACTTACAGTCAAAAGACTGAATCTGGTGCTTATCGAGTTGGGCCCATAGCTTCCACAGTGTTCGTTATCCCTATTAAGAGATGAGTCCAGCCATCGCCAGTCCCTCTAACCTCTGAGGATCGGCTGGAATGCAAGGGGATTCATTTCTTACCAAAACAGTCCATCACTACCTTCAAACTACAACAGCATCTATACAGTAAGCCTGTTTTAGGATCATTGTTTCCTAAAAGGGGCTGACAGAACAAGCAGCAAACGGCCAAGTCATTCCAGTATTTATTTGATGCAAGACAGGGCGTGACAACCTTTGACCTTCCACATCTCATACAGAAAAAATTCCAATGTTTCCACAAGTAGAGGTGTTAGCATTTCTCACAGCCTGTTTCGGACTACTACAGTGTTCAGGCCCTTAAGATTTCCACATATTTGTCAAATGGGTTCAAAGATTTCTCTTATATTTTGCAGACAAACAGCATATCAGTGTAGTCTCCTTCTCTTGAGATCTTGCTAACACAGACCAAAAAATACAGAGGTAAAAAAAAAAAACACTTAAAGAATGGCCTGATTTCAAAAGCTTCTGAAGTACCCTTACAAACTTCTGAGCTTTCACAGTGAAATTAATAAAAACTCAAGCTTACCTTTTCTCCTTTTTCACCTTTCAGTCCAGGAAAGCCTTGAAATCCTTCTTCACCCTAAAACAAACACATTAGACACTTTGTATGGGATGCAATGTTATTCTCTGATTTACAGCGGGCATAGTTATTGTTTTCTGTGATTCAATGTCAACTTATATTACATGCTGTAATTATGCCGTTTTATCAATCACTTGTAACTTGGCTGCACTTGAACCAGTTCATCTCAAGCTACCTCCAAGTCAACCCTAGAAACATTTCACCAAGAAAACCTATTGCCATATTTCAAAGCATGGGGACTTAAAATTTGGAGTGGTCAACTTTCTACATAAGAGGTGTCCCTTGGTGGCACCCCATCAATGCACAGAAATCTAGCGTTGCTGATTACAGGAAACAGCATTTTCTGAGTAAAGTTGCCTGTAAATACACAAGGACTACCTACACAGACAGATAAATACAGGCCAAATTCTATCACTCTCTTTTTCTTTCTTTCTTTCTTTCTTTCTTTTTTTTTTTTAAATTTTCTTTTTTACCTGCTGAGAAGTCTAGCAGACTTACATAGATACATCCCTAGGGCAAGGTTCTAGTTAGTGTTTGACAAAACAGCAAAACCCGTCCTTATTTATTTATAGGCATACTTTGCTCTTAGAGGTTAATAAAAGACAGTATCTAGAAAGTATCTACACTATATATGCAAATTAAAGTCATTAGATACTTTAATAATCAGATTTCTTGGTAACTGAACCTTCATGAAACACTTTGGCTGGAATTTCTAATGCAGCTAGTGGTAAAAATACAATCCACTATATTTTAATAGTCTCCATAATGAGACTAAAAACACATCAAACAGCAAATATGACTTTTTAGGAAATAATTTGCTCAAAGAGGTCAATAATACTTGAAAGAAATGCCATTCCATGTCAAGGTGCACCACACAGCTTAAAAAATAATTACATCTTTTCTTTACTAAACAGAGGAATAGGGTTAACCAACATTTGATCTTGTGCTTTCTACATGAAATAGCAACTCCTAGTAGGCTGAAAAATTAATTCTTGCATCAGTCAGTAAGTTTGATGGATAGTGTCATACAGTCATTCAGATTGGATAGGACCTCATGAAGTTTCTAATTCAACTTCACACTCAAAGCACCATCAATAGCGAAATAAGACCAGGTTGTTCTGGTCTTCAGCAATGTTAGTCTTAAAAACCTCCAACAATAAGGTTGCTCTTCTTCCCAGATGCAATTAGTAACTTGCGTCCTAAGCCAATGCTATCCTAGGTGAAGCAAGAGACTTTTGCTTTTAATCATACATTAATTATTCATTTATTAAGCAAAGCAGTTCAATTTCATCTTCAACTCTCCTACAAATACGTGGGTTTTAGCAGTAGCAATTTCTGAGAAGCCACTAGCCCCTTCCTAGGCAGAAAACTGTGCACAAGCAAGCTGGACTCTAGAGACAGGTTTAACAACCATGGCCAGCTGCAGAACAAACAGATATTCCACCAGACTAGAAGGGCTTCTACTTCTGCTGCTTCCATTAACTCCCCATTAACCCAAGCTAGTCGCTTCATGTCCCTCAAAAGGCAGAAAGCCCAGCCAGGCTAAAGCTACATTCAGCAGCTGCTCAATCCTTCATAAAAGCAAAAGAACCAACTGTGTTGCCTATGTCAAAACAAAAAGCATCCATGCTGGAGTTCTTTAAAACAGTGCCAAAATAGCAGTGGCAGGTAGGGATGAGCAAGGATGAAGCAATTTGCACCTTAGCTCAGGGTTAAAGCCCCAGTGAGGATGCTACTTGCTGGAAGAGAATGCTGTGGCCACCACAATTTACCTCAGGGAGCAACTTTCTTGAACCATAGCTTCCTAATGTCAGAGTGAATCATAAAACAGTCACCTTTTCTCTCCACATATCCAATATTAATTTGATCAGGTTAAATCTAGAGCATGGCTCTCAGTGTACTGCTATAATGTATGGAAGTGGCAGCGTATCCAAAAGGGTATCCATTTCCTCTCTCATCCCCTCCAAACAGATCAGGTAGATTAACAAAAGAGGTTACCATTCTCTCCACAATTTGTGGATTAACAGGCTCTGCTAGTGCATCTATTCTGGAAAACACTTTAATTAAGATTTTCTTTAGCTTTATAGAGGAAGACAGTGCAGTTGCCCAAAGAAGAAATCACAATAATGTTGTTCAAAAGGTGCTCTTGCTGGGGAATTTACATCTTCAGAAATGAAGCTCAGAGGGAAGGTGGCAGATTTTCCTGAGCACTCCCCTTTGCACGTTCACAGATGTGCTGTCCTTTTCTTACTCTAAGTCAAACTCCATTTGCTGAAATCCATCCTCTGTGCTGCAGAGACAGTGAACTTGAACCAAACCTTTGCAGGAGGGTTAGTGGGTAGACACATTCATTAACTCACTGCTGCTTGTAAGAATATTTGTCAAAAAAAGACTAA